CAATTAATTGCTCCCTGTCGGTCCTTCCTTTACCACAGTGTCAGTAGATTTAACAGACCTTGAAAATTCCAGCCTTGGTTAAGACTCCAACCCAGCACCTTTGATTTTAAGGTAGCTCGCTACTTTCCGACCGAAATTTGACAATATCTCAGATCTTGATGATTTCTGGTATACAGACATGTAGAAATGTAAGCTTTACTTCTGCAGTATTATTTTATAAATAGACAGCGTTACTATGACGTCAAAGCGCCCTCTATCGGTGGTGGCAAAATTGCGTCTTTTTTATCAATAAACCGGTCTGTTATTATCAATTTTCATCCGATTTCCTTCATTTCAATTTTATAATGTTCAGTAAATGTATGTCTTTGTAATGATGTTTTTCTTGAACATTTGCTTAATACTCTGCGATTCTACGTTATTTTCCCTCACGTTTCTGACGTCCATACTTGATGCAAATATCGCGCGATATCGCAATAAAGATTGTGAAATAATAAAAAATCAACACGGTGAATATTGCTATAATTTTTTTAACATGTAGTGAAGTCATAAAAGAAAATATTTATGCAATAAAAATATAGGGTCAACGCGTAAGATATTTTGCTATTACTATTTGAATATAAAATAAAGTGTGAGTAAAACGTAATGATTTTGGTGACGTCAAATATTTTTTCTCATGGAAATTTCACGACTTTTTCGATAAATAACATACTGACAGGAATAAAAATGTGTGAAAACCATCAACAACAATAGTATGTAGACATGTTCCGTAAAAATGTTCTTTTAAAAGTCCTGTCAGATGCCTGCTTTTCGATGAATATCTTCAATTATATACATGTACAACAAATCAGGGTATAACTGTCTGCAAAAGTTTGGTATCAATCGCTGAAAAAACTGCAACAAATGAATATAAACACCTCGAGGACTGAAAGACAATTCAGAATATTGAAAGATATAATTAAAAGGACACCTAAGTGGAAATTATAAAAAACATAAATTTTGCAAAGAATGACAGAAAAAAAAAATATGAAAAGGCTGGTGCAGTCGCAATGTCATCATGTTATGTGTATCTCGGTACAACATAAACTTCCATGTTATCATATGTAACAATTTTGAATTGTATATATCATTAAGTAGGAACAGAGACATAGATAACATCTATGTCTGTGGTAGGAAATGAATCAAATTAACGTTTCAAAAATATATGATCAACTGGAAGTAGCAACGATTTGTACGTAGGTCAAGATTCACTGGTAGTCTAAATTATTTTATAAAATCTAGCAGACATTTAATTCAAAAAATTTCTACACGTATAAAAAATTATTTATTAACAGCCATCAGTTATTCTATTTTCTCTCGCAGCTATATACCCTGCACTAAGCGTGTGTCTCAGATTTAAAGTAGGAATCACGCTCTCATGCTATGGCTTTAATTTCTCACGTATTTCACATAATTATAGAAATTCTTATTTATTTTAAACTAGCTGATTCGCGGTATGCATTTACTAGCGCATCTTTGAGGGACCTGAAGCCGCAATCGTTTCTCGATTAGAGGCGAAAAATCCGTTGATTTATTTTGTATGTTTAGAAGCGGAGAATTTTGCATATTAAATACAGATTCCCTATTGTATTGAAGGCGATTATGTAGGAGTCTCAATTTGTGTGATTATGGTTGTTGGAGAAGCTCGTTTTTTTGTCTGCACATAATGCAGTGCTATGTAGAGCCTATGAAAATAATGAACTATGCATTTTATGTTTTATATCTTCTTATTTTTTAGGAATACTGGTTTATTGGTTTATAATCTCACAAGTTACACAACCTTCACCTTTCTGACATTCTGAGACCCAAACAAATTCAGCGCCTTCTGTGCTTTGATTTAATATTGGGTTTAACGCCGCTTTCAACAGTATTTCAATTAAAGCGAAGGGAATTTAACGAAACCAGTGTTTCTCACAGTATCAACTTCTCTTTTGGAAATGAATGACAGGTGTCCCGAGGTGGACCTTGAAACATTTCATACACAGTTATTAATTCTAAAGGATAATCTATTAGTACAATACGCAATCGTGTCTCGAATCCATGCCTTCCGAATTCAGCGTAAGACCACTTTACCGATAACAACGTGGCAACAGAAGAATATTCAAAGTTAAAAACCTGAATATGATCTCTGTTAATAAGGGAGACTGTCCACTTTATTGTTTACATCATAAACACGTGTTCATTTTGTTCTAAAGCAAACTGTATTGTATTAAAAAATGAACTAGATAACGTCAACATAATACATTATTCGTATTCAGTGGCAAGTTAGTAAATAATTATATTTTGTATTTAATTAAAATATACAGTATAACCTTTACAGAGAAATGCCCTTCGTTGCCTAGAGTGGTTGCTCTACAGAGGTAAAATGTAGTGGAACTCTTTAGAAATAAATAATACTTTGAGGGCCGTTATGTTATACTGTACAGTAATGAAAAACCGGTAATGAATCCGAGTTGAGTAATGGTTATATGGGGTGTTTCACATTCGAGTCTGCATTTGCGAATATGCTTATATATTTTTATTCAGTATGAATTTGCTTCCAGAATAGTTTATAGTTTGTCATATAAGTGCTCATTTTCTAATTATCATGACATTTTAATTAGATTATAATTATATAATCTATGTATTGCACAGACTTAAAAATGGTAAGCAAAAATAAAAATAGAATAAAGGTTTTTGTTTCTTGTACAGTTTGTGTTTAAATATTCTTACAGGGACTTCACTGAGGTTGAAAAGCCAAACACATAACAATTGATTTTCTTACATAAATTAGCTGGGCACTTTAAACAGAAATATATGCGAAGATAGTTAAGAAATATACATTGAAATAAATTGAAAATCGTATTTTTATGCTTTTGTTAGCCCGATTCGGGTGAAAAGCGTTTAAACGCTTTTCATTTTGAATAATCATTCTGGAAAAAACGAAGTACGCGAATGCTCTGAAATTTTGCACAAAGATTAATGGTCTAAACCTTCATCAAATGGTACATTTATCTGGAAAAAATATTTTCAGTTTCATCATGTCAAAAAAACTCAGTGGAATCCCTTTAACATATTTGAATATTATTTGTGAATTTTATTTATCACTTATTTCGGCACATTTGTATGCATATCTATATAAATTGTATTTTTACGATGTGTTTTGACACCGAGGCTCGTCTGCCTTTATGTGATTTTATGAAAGTGTTTAAAGGTTGAATGTAAACGTAAAATAAATGTTCTACGGGTATAACCTAAGCGACCTTATATTCTTACTTCATTCATACAGCAATATGTGAATCTGATTTTTTGGGCTGAAACTAGTTAATTCATATAATAATATAACACTTTAACAACATCACATTATAAAATTAGAATTAAAATATGTATGAGACTGTGTCCTAAAAATTAGAAAAGTATTTGAGCCGCATCATGACAAAACCAACATAATGGGTTTGCGACCAGCATAGATCCAGACCAGCCTGCGCATCCGCGCAGTCTGATCAGGACCCATGCTTTTCGCTGTCAGTTTCTCTACTTGTTACAGGGTTTATAAGCGAACAGCATGAATCCTGATCAGAATGCGCGGATGCGCAGGCTGGTTCGAATCCATGCTGGTCGCAAACCCATTATGTTGGCTTTGTCGTGCCGCGGCTCATTTAAAAAAGGATTGTCGGATTAAACATTGTAAATGTGCTCATCTAGCGCATGCTTTCAATGAGAAAATTATTAACAATTTAAAAAAAAATACATTTCATCAAGTCCCTGTGTTGTTAGTACTTACTATCGTAATGTTTGATGTAAGAAAATTGTTATTTGGTATTATTCTTTGAACTCCAACATCTATTAACGTCACCAAAATCATTACGTTTTACTCACCCTTTATTTTATTTTAAAACAGTAATAGCAAAATATCTTACGCGTTGACCCTATATTTTTATTGCATAAATATTTTCCTTCACTATCTCACTACACGCTCGGAAAATTATAGCAAAATTCACCGTGTTGAATTTTTTTTATTACACAATCTTTAATGCGATATCGCGCGGTATTTGCATCAAATATGGACGTCAGAACGTAGAGAAAAATGACGTAAAATCGCAGACTATTAAGTAAATGTTAAAGAAAGACATCATTACAAAGACATACATTTACTGAACATTATAAAATTAAAATGAAGGAAATCGGGTGAAAATTGATAAGAACAGACCGGTTTATTGATAAAAAAGACGCAATTTCACCGCCACCTATAGAGGGCGCTTTGACGTCATAGTAACGCTGTTTATTTATAAAATAACGCTGCAGAAGTAAAGCTCACATATTTATATGTTTGCATACCAAACATCATCAAGATCTGAGATGTTGTCATATTTCGGTCGGAAAGTAGCGAGCTACCTTAAAGCAAGCATACTAATGACCTTCGTGTTACAACACGAGCAGCATAGCAAGAGAGGCTGGCAAGAAAAGCTAGCCAGACAGTACAAACATTTAATGAAGTCTACCTTCCAACGTAAAGTCAGGTTTAGATTGTAATATTCTTTCTTAAAAGCTGGAAGATGTTGACACTGAAGAAAAAAGAGATCAGTTTCTGTCGGCACATGGAGACAGTCTTCTTGACATGGGATTTAGTAATCCGTATAGTATGAAAAGGGAGAATAAAGGAGAACTGATCTACAAAATAAAGAAGTTCTATCTGTTTTTCAGGTAAATCTTTTATAAAAAATATATTTTCAACTTGCAAGTCTGGAGTCTTAGTAACATCTCTTACTAAGGGGGATTTGCTTGGGGTCGAAGTAAGGTCACTGTGATCCCTTTAACCTTGCTCATAAAATGATAGTGCCTCCACCTACATTAGTCATACTTCATATGTAGATGCACCCTGATGACTTCTACATCCTCACTTACTCTGAGGTCACTAGGTTAACGATCAAGGTCATTGTGACCCCTGACTTGCTGATAGAATGAAAGTTCTTGCACATACGGTATTCATACTTCGGACGTAGATGCGTCCTGATGGCCTCTATATTCTCACATACTTTGAGGTAACTAGGTCAAAGGTAAATGTCATCGTGACCCCTGATAGAATGAAATGAAAGTGATTCCGCACAAGGTAGTCATACCTTATATGTAGATGCACGCCGATGATCTTACTTTGAGGTCACTAGGTCTAAGGTCAAGGTCACTGTCACCCCTGATAGAAAATATTCACCTTGCCCATAAAATGAAAGTGATTGCGCCTAAGGTGTGTTTGTGTTGGATGTCACGTCGCACTGATACACACAATAGGTCATTTGGGGCCTATTCCAACTTTCATGTGGAAAAAGACCCCAGGGGCCCCTTCGGGCTTATTTCATCACGAGCGGGCACCTGGGTAGAATTTACATCAGTGAGCGGCAAATGTTTCGAAGTCAGCGACTTTAACCACTCTACCGGTGAGGCACCCTATATTTTACAATTAAGACTCATTACTCTGTTTAGCATTTTTTAAAGAATTATTTCTCTTCTTTGACTTACAAGATCCTGGTTTTCGCTGTAACTCTAATACTACTTTTGATATTTGATTCAAATTTTGCACATGCCTTCGTGGTCAATTAACAGTGTCATATAATCCAGGGACATAACTCTTTAATGATTTTCTTGGGTTGTTCGGTTTTCCTACTTAACAAAATATTAAATTTCACTAATAATATATCTCTATTACTACAGCAAATGTTTGGTTCAAATGCAAAGTTTGATTTAATCACGAAGTTTGATTTAAATACTAATGTTTTATATCACTTATATATATTGGTGCTGGAGTAGCCTGAAAACCTTGGTATGTGACAAGTTTCTGCCACTCGTTTCTCTGGATTCTTGTTCTCTACTAGTGTAGGATCAACTTTGTTTTCTTATAGAATTTCAGGAGAAATTAGTCAATTCAAGCAAGGGATGAACGAGGTTGGCAAAACATGGGATTACATTCAAGACAACGCAAACGTCTTTAAACCTCTGTTCTGCTACAGAAAAGAAGAGCCTAGCTTAGATGACGTAATGGGACTATTTACGGTCAGTTACAGTGTAAATGGCTCCAATGCTCGCACAATGGAGGATGCAACGATTTACGCGTGGGAGCTGTTCCTACAGTCCATTGAAGGTATCCTTCTTAGTAATACATGTACATACATTGAGGGGAAATGTACTTGTAGTGTGTTACAAGCATAAAAGTCAGTTTATGTAGTCCCTTCATTTCTTTTTACAAATCTGTTATCCTGGCAAACTGTTGTTTAAAGGTGTCAATTTAAAACAAAAATGATTAAATGTTAAACCATTAATGACTTTTAGAACCGTAAACTACAAGTACGGTAGGCTTGTTTTCATCTTTATAATGAAATAAGAATATAGTTGATTTTGGTGGATCACGGAATTTTATTTTAAAGGGAAGCACATCCCAAAATACATGTAAGTCCTAGATTAAAAACCTAGTCAAGGCAGACCGATATGCAATAGCTTTTTATTTCCCCAGCATCTACTGATTTAACTCAATAATCAATATATACCAAAGAAAGTTTACTTTTTTTATCTAAACTTTCGTTTCAACTACAAATGTGTGTTTTACTTATCAAATACACATGATGGTCGAATTATTTGCACTTGGAGAACCATTTCCTTGAAATGTTTCTGAAGATAATTCCTGTATATTTTCAGACAAAGAAGTACCAGAGGTCACATTTGGCGAGTTGCTTGCGTTTGTAACGGGATCTGACCATATTCCACCATGTGGCTTTCCAAAAAAAATAGAAATTGATTTCTTCAATGATGATATTCGCATGCCGCACGTGTCCACATGTGCTTTGCAAATGTGGCTGCCACGTGCAGCATCCCCAGAGCGACTATCCACTTTGCTTGTGAGGGCGCTAAAAGAGTCGAGGGGATTTCTGAAAGTTTAGATTTATGTTTTTAGTAATAGATTTATACTAACTGCTCTCTACTACAAATATACTGAGAGGCAAAAGAAACTGTGCACTTTTGTTCACATGCTTACATTGACCTTACAAAAATCAGGATTTCTCAAAATAATGGTAATAAAAGAAATTGATGACATTTTAAATCATTTGTCAGGTAATTTTTCTCTATTTAGAGTGCTGACTAATGCCAATTGCTCTTGTTCTTGTACTTTGTATGTAAACTTTCATAGTCCGCATGTTATATATTTACCAAGAAGATTAAATGTGAAAAGTGAACAGTTTCTTTTGCCTCTCAGTATATGAGTTTACATGTTTTCAAACGTTCTAAGAATTTTGCTCACTTCGAAGAAGAGGGGTATATATTGTTTTACTCATGCCAGTCGATCTGTTAGTCAGTCGGTTGGTCCGTAGACCATTTCCTTTCCACAAAATATCGTCAGAAAGCTTTGAGATGGGGTCAAACTTCAAAAAGTGATTGCCTCAATATTGTCAGAAAGTTAACCTCGCATGGTTTCGGGGAGGAGCGGGGTTGCAGTATTACAAAGGTCAAGGTTACAGTGCCCTTCAAACTGAAAACGGTCTCCTACGATCGCTAGGGAACGATTGTGCATACAACTGTCAAACTTTATTTGATGACTACAGGTAGTGAGTATATGAGCCTTACATTTTTGGGGTCGATAGGTCAAAGTTCAAGGTCACAGTGATCTCAAACTGAAAATGATTTCCGCGTGAAACGGCAGAGCAGTAGGACATATGGCTGTCAAACTTCATAGGATGAGTGTGTGTTGCCAATAGATGCCATCAATTATTTTGTGTGCCATTTAACCATCTTTTAAGCAGAGAATAGTTAGACCAACAGTAACTGTTGTCAAACCGTGGTCAGCAGTGTTCGGGGAAATGTAACAGATAATAAATGGCTACGATGCCGGCAAATGTGTTTTTACAAATAGCATTTGATGTATTCTGTTTTATCGTTATCAGTTTTATCAGTTGTTTTAAAAATGTTTATTTTCATTTTCGTTATGAAAGGTAAGCTAAGTTAAGCCACCTATGTTACTCATTGTAGTTCTTATTTAGAGATGAAAATATACAGAAAAGTTTTGTAATCTTGTAACTTTCTGGTGTTGGATAGTTTATAATGTGTCCATTCAATTGTGAAGATGAAACGTATCTCCAACTTTTATTTATTATTCTTCTCCACGCAAACTATTTGTAATCTCCTTGAAATGTATGATACAAAATGGTTCACAAAAATAATCAGAACAAAGAAATAGCAGGAAACACATTTATACTGTAAAAGATCTTTGATCATTGATTCATGAGCTTGTCATGGGACATAAATGATAATTGAGTGTAGGGTCCATACTGGTTATTGAACGTGTTGAAAAAATCTTGCGAGCCTCTGGCGAGCAAAATATTTTTTACATTGAGTTCAATTATTTCATTATGAAGCTACACTAATTAAATATTTTATTAATCACTTACACAAAATAATAAAAAAATACAGGCCAAAAACAACCCCACCAAAACAATCATTTCACTGACGCGCTTCTGTGTAACATATAACTTTAGCGTACTGTAACGCCCGTGTATGTTTTGTAGCGTAAATTATACATGACGTCACGTCAAAATATATGTACGTCCGTGCAATAACATTTTTTATCACATGTTTGACGTCGCGGGAACGTAATAAAGCCATTACATATTATTGATATTACATAGAGGATAATTGTTTGTTTTGATGAAAGATCGAGATATATTTCACTGAGTGAACACCAAAAGCGATATTTTCACGAGTGGCGAAGCCACGAGTGAAAATAACTGCTTTTGGTGTTCACGAATGAAATATACGTGATCTTTCAACAAAACAAACAATTATTCTATTTATTTCATGCTAGAAAAGGGGAAGTTTCTATCAAAATAGTGTAACGACGTTTGAAAAAGCGCAAAACAACGTGCCTTCAGTGACGTCAAATTTATGACGTCATGCTGATTTTGAATCTGGTTTCGTTTACGTCCTGATACAGGGACCATGTTAAAACGGGAACAAGCCGACCGGAAGAGTGAAATTATATTCTGATAATTTCACTGTGAAATTATCAGAATATAATTCACTGATATATTTCAGTAATCCACTGGAAAGCATTAAATAAACTAGCGTAATAACACTTTGACGTCGGCGTCTTTTAAAGTTAGCGGACGTCGCTAGATTTTACCGTGTTTATAGGGAATAAAAATGGCAATTTATCGGTGTTTCGGAATCAAATAAAGCATGTGATAAAAAGAATATTACATTCGTGTCTTTTAACATTAAATTTATTAAACTCGTTTAATAAAATAATAAAATGCTCGGTAGAGCCTCGCAATTTATTATTTTATCCAACTCGTTTAATAGATTTAATATGAAAAGACACTCCTGTAATATCCTCTATATGGAGTCATAAAGTTTGACAGGGTATTTAAATAACGTTTTTTTTTCATATCTGGGATAGTCCACTTAATGACCTGCATAAGTCCAATTAATGACCTGCATTAATGCCTGCCCTCAGATGTCTATATAGCGATAGTGCGTCTTCCGCATTTGCTGGTGGCAATAAGTCATCTTCAGCCATAATGTTGATGCACAATTCATACACATCAGCATCGCAGCACACTGATGATCGAAACTGGACCCGATTGGAGCACGCGAATACATCTTGTTGAGGGACGGGAAACATATAATTTCTCGCATTCCACAAACTTGGATAGTTGAACATTCTGTTTGGCTGACCGCATGGGTTGTTACTTCTTGAACGTCTGATCGTGTGGTTGTTCCACATCGAAACGGCTAAATCCAACTCTGTCTGTAAAGATACAGATAAAACCTCATATTGCACGTGCATCACTATGTGCTGACAGTTGTTGATAAACTTCGACTTGACAAAAATTGTTGTTGGAAATCTATATAATAACTAAGATATGTATCGTTCATCTTTAATACAGCGCTGTATGACATTGTGCACAATTGCGCCCTTGCGATGAATGTAAGGAACGCAAATGTCCCGGATGATCAGGATCGGATCTGTTCACTGCCGATTCCAGAGATAAGATTGTTTAGCCCCTGATCAGTCTGCATGGTAGATTGCTGACTGTTAAGAGTAATTTACTTAACTTCATTTAGTTTAACATTCCTTTCTGTGCGATTGTGGGATATTAAATCAGTCTTACGACCTGTTTTCAGAATATGAGAGATGTTATGTTAAAATGACAAAGCACCAGCCAAGGGATTTTTTTTTCCATAAATACCATTTAAAGAAGAAAAAATACATTTATCTCTATATTATCATTGGCTGCTGGTTGGGACATGCCATTTGATACTTTCCATTTGCTAATTGCAGTTTGCCAATGAGCATGTTCCGCATTATGGATGAACTATACATATCAAGGTCACTCTCCCTTAATAAGCAAGTATGGGTCCTTCCAATATGACACGGTATCAAGTGCCTTGCCTCGTTTTTGTTCACCTCACAGCAAATGAACGCTGATAAAATCTTGACAGTGCGTAAAGCCTTGCTTAGCTACTGGTTTCAGAATACTAGAAATGTTTAAAAAGGAATTTTAACGCATGAAATCTCAACATTAAATATCTTTTCAAAAACACCTTACTAGTATTGCGTGTTTAATGGACTACCTGTTTTCACCATTTAATGGATTACTTGTTTTCACCATTTATTTTTCAAGAGAAGTAACATACAAAACACAAAGAAACGTACCTGTACTATACCCATAAAACAAAACTGTACTAAATGTTTGTCGAGTTGACTTCCAGAATATTCGCCAACTTCCTGCAATCCCCGAAATAAGTCGATCCAATACTGGATGTGCTGGCGTCTGAGATATCCCCACCATGATTCAATTCTTTGATTGAGTGTACTTGCGCCTTCAATGTAATCAATGTTATCTCCACTGTCTCTTTTAAACCAGCGTTGCAACTCTTTGACCAAGGTATTTTCAGTGCCAAAATCCCCTCGTATGACCTTAGCGGTGCCACCGTACTTTTCAACAGTTTCTAAAAAGTAGCCGGCGATTACCCTTGGATTGTTATTAGTATTGAACACATTTAGCCACAAAATCTTCCTTGAAAAACCGCAGATACATCCGTGGATGCATAAGCCATAAGGTTTAAGCTTATCGTAGCCGTCAATGTGCCAGAGAAAGCTAGGTCCGGCGGCAGAGTAGGTACGGCGGTTAAACCTTCTAGCAGTTCTGTGCTGAACACCTGTAAATAAATAGAAAAAAAGTGCTAAAGGAAATGTTATCCAGAGCTGATTAAGTGTGAAGTCAGAAATGTATTTGCCTGTAATTACTCAAACAAGAGCTGTCACTGTAAGATTGCACATGCCTTCGATGGCACTTTGGGTAAATGGTTACGGCCAATGTCAGAATGGTATTATAATGTCCAGTTTATTACTCTCATGAAGTATCACATTTAAATTCTTAAGTGTAATCTTGACCTACGCACGAAAAAACCTGAGTCTCGTATATAGGCAGAAGTCTTCAAAAAAAAAATTTTTTAAAGAAAAGAAAGGAAATAATTAAGAAATATTTATGACATGGTTCGGCTTACACTTCCTCTCACAAGTATGTATTTATATGTGAAGTTTGCTTGAAATATCTTTCTCAGTTTTAAATTTATTCAGAAGAGAAATAGATTTAGCATAAAAAGAGAGGTATTTTGTTTTAAGAAAAATGTATGGTGATATTTCTTCCTCTTACTGATATTTATTTGCATTTCAAGTCTTAGTAAGACTAAATCTATTTCTCTTCTGAATAAGAATAATTATTACAGATTAAGAAGTTATTCTGCAGACATGAAAAGCGTAAGTTTATAATGGGAAATGGTATGCTTTTGTACACATCACTCACGCTCATCAATATCTAACATTTACTACATTTCAAGTTTTATTTATATTCCTTTAGTACTTTTATTGTGAACTGGAAACAAAACAAACGTGCTAGCAGACCTTTGTATCATTTGACCTCTAAGTATGACCTTCACCTGATAGGACTCTGGGAGTTACGCATGACAAGTCATCTTGATATAGTGAACATTTATGCAAATTTATTACAAAATCCCTTCATGGACAGAAAACAAGGTATGGACCGGACATGCAACACACCCTACAAACAGACATTTGACCTCTAAACGTGACCTTGACCTTTGGGGATTGGGTCTGGGTGTTCCGAATGGCACGTCATCTCATTTTGGTGAACATTAATGCCAGGTTATTTCAAACCACCTTGATGAATAAAGAAGGTCTTGATCAGACAAGAAACATACCCTGTAACAGACCAAATTACTCTTTTTCTCACCTCTGAGACAGAGGAATCCGAATAAAATGCCTATGTGAGATACATGTAATCTTGTCTCGCATAGCTTGTCTCACATCGGACACGGACTACTTTATTTGCCATGAAATCAACACAATCGGACGGTGAGAAAAATCTACCACTCCCATTACGTTGTGGATAAGGAATCCCACACTCGGTTTGAGATATGTCAAAAAACTCGGCAGAGCCTCATTTTTGTACAAATCCAAACCTCGTGTGGGATTTCCTTATGTACAACTTATGGAAGTGGTCTATTCACTTTATCTCTAAATGTGACACGCCGTATCATTATAGTAAACATTTATGCAAAGTTATTTCAAAATTCCTTCATGGATAAGAAAAAGAAACAGACAGGACGAAATGAAGACAGACAGACGGACAGACAGTTCGAAAACTATCAAAAATCATTCAAATTGAATGGTAACGAACCATCGTACCATTACGAATCTGATCCACACAGCAAAATGCAATGATTTAAAATTGCCCTAACGGAACTCTGTACTATTCCCACTGAATACCTTATCGCAGACGTCTAATTAACAGTATTTTATTCCTGTATGACTATGTATTCTTAACAATTTCTTCGCAGTTAAAGAATTTCGCTCCTATCTGTATTCTCATGTCTCGTCGCATTTAAAGTTTTTCTCTCCTGTATGTATTCTCCACCTCTAGTCACATTTAAAGTATCTTTCTCCTGTATGTATTCTCATGTCTCGTCTCAGTTAAAGAATTTCTCTTTTGTACGTATTCTCATGTCTCGTCGCAGTTAAAGAATTTCTCTCCTGTATGTATTCTCATGTCTCGTCTCAGTTAAAGAATTTCTCTCCTATATGCATTCTCACGTCTCGCCGCATTTAAAAAAATCACTCCTGTATGTATTCTCATGTCACGTCGCAGTTAAAGAATGTCTGTCCTGTTTATATTCTTATGTTTCGTCGCAGTTAAAGATTTTCTCTCCTGTATGTATTCTCATGTCACATCGCAGTTAAAGAATTTCTCTCCAGTATGTATTTTTCTCTCGTGTATGTATTCACATGTCTCGTCACAGTTAAAAATTTCTCTCGTGTATGTATTCTCATGTCTCGTCGGAGTTAAATAATTTCTCTCCTGTATGTATTCTCACGTCTCGTCGCATTTAAATTATTTCTCTCCTGTATGTATTCTCATGTCTCTTCGCAGTTATAGTATTTCACTCCTATATGTATTCTCACGTCTCGTCGCAGTTAAAGAATATCTCTCCTGAATGTATTCTCATGTCTCGTCGCAGTTAAAGAAGTTCTCTCCTGTATGTATTCTAATGTCTCGTCGAAGTTAAAGAATTTCTCTCCTGTATGTATTCCCATGTCTCGTTGCAGTTAAAGATTTTCTATCCTGTATGTATTCTCATGTCTTGTCGTATTTCAAGTATTTCTCTCCTGTATGTATTCTCATTTCTCGTCGCAGTTAAAGAATTTCTCTCCTGTATGTAATCTCACGTCTCGTGGCATTTAAAGTATTTCTCTCTTGTTTGTATTCTCACGTCACGTCGCATTTAAAGTATTTCTCTCCTGTATGTATTCTCATGTTTATAGGCCAACATCGTTGCTATTGGGTTTACCCTTTAACAAAGTGAATGTTTGGTCGCATAGGGATCATGTGGCTTTGATACTGCTGGATGCTGTGTGATTTCTCCTTTAATTGGGTAGTGCGTTTATGAAGTTCATACAGAAGAGGCTTTTTGTTCATCAAATAACATAAAGGAATATATGATAATGGATACAGAAAAGAAAGTCTTATAAATATGACGTTTGTTGTCATGTCTGTGTCTCAAGTTTTTACATGACATTTTGTTATTTGTGGCTATACATTTATAAAGACGGGTGTGCTATTTTCTTACCCTCGGGATCCATTATACGGAGAATGGTTGCTATGTCGCCTGATCGAACATATAAACCATTTGCCAGACATCTTTCACGCATAATCCTGTATCCGTGTTGCTGGCCTGAATGTTGGAGTTCATTCTGGACGAAGTCTATAACTGAAGATGGATCAGAGTACGACCTTCGTTGAAGTCCTTCAGACCTTAAAAGTCTATATAAATGTCTTATTGACAATAATATCCCATGTTGTTCTCGCAACACAGTCACTATTTGCCGGTAATTCAATCTTTCATGAAAGTATCTTGATATAAGGTTTCTAATATTAGCCTGATTGTTAAAGTCCATTTTAGCATTTGTTAAAAAAAAAAAGGGAAATAACTTTTAATTTTTCCACTATACTGAGTTTTGATTGGCTGAAATTATCTCGTGGGAACGAGATATTATCTCGTGGGAACAAGATAATTAACTCGTGGGAACGAGATATTATCTCGTGGGAACGAGATATTATGTCGTGGGAACGACTTATTATCTCGTGGGAACGAGATATTATGTCGTGGGAACGAGATAATTATCTCGTGGGAACGAGATATTATGTCGTGGGAACGACTTATTATCTCGTGGGAACGAGATATTATGTCGTGGGAACGAGATAATTATCTCGTGGGAACGAGATATTATGTCGTGGGAACGACTTATTATCTCGTGGGAACAAGATAATTATCTCGTGGGAACGAGATATTATGTCGTGGGAACGACTTATCATCTCGTGGGAACGAGATAATTATCTCGTGGGAACGAGATATTATCTCGTGGGAACGACTTATTATCTCGTGGGAACGAGATAAATAAAGACACCCACATGTCACCTCTGTGCCACCGTACGTAACGGTTTGACAGTAAGAAAAAAAAAGTCTGTAAAATGGGTCAAACCGATCACGCCGAATTAATTAGGCTAACATTGTATAACATGTATATATCTTTATCGTGGTACCTTCTTACTCCTTAATAAATTAATAAACTAAGTATGATTACGCACTGACTATATGCACTGTCAAATTCACGTGTACATATTAAAATTTCACGCGCTTCTGAATCAGATACGACGTCACAGCTATATTAATAACTTTGTTGTACCATGTGATCAAATATTTTCAAGATGGCGACGTTCTTAGCAGTTCCGCTAAAACAAACTTACGAAGTTGATGTTGTTAAACCGTTTCGAAACTTCATTCAAAATACTTTTTCATCTGCTAATCCTGATGAATACAACACAGCGATCAGTGAATTTCATAAATTGAGAAATTTGACAATTACAAAGTCGGTTGACAAGCATGAATCGGCACTCGAAGTTTTGTACAGGTGAGTAAGGAAGTGGGTGGGGTAAAAAGAGAAAATATAGCATTTCAATTTTAAGCGTTGATATTCAAATGTGTTTAAAAGTCTCAATTATTTTTGCCATCTCGTCATATTAATTGCGAATATATGTTACTAACTATGTTATATTTGTGTTTGCTAGTGATTTCTTATAACAGAATTGAAAATGAAACTTGTTTCCAATTTTTTTTTGAAAAAAATTAAAGTTGAGCTCACCGTAAGATGATTTTCGCATTATCAGATTATACACATTTAAAAGCTGTTTAATTGTTTATGTATGCATAGACATACAGAGAGAGTGTGGGAGAGGATACCTATAGCTTGAAGGTTCTCGCATATACGAACAATGGCGAATTCTCTTACGTGAGTGCAGGCGCACCAACTGTACCAGAGTAAAATGCGCGATCGTGGTGTGTGGGTCCTCTTATGATTCCTCGAGTACAACAACGCATGAGACCCCCATAGCCATCCTCAGTCTATCTGAGGCGAGTACTATGTTCACCTGGATAGAGTCAAAGCATTCATTGAAGTGGATCTACACAGCGTATGAGTGTGCGAGAGCAGGTGCGAGTGAGCGAGCCGTGGCGAACAATATCTCCACTCTCTCGATATCAGATATCTCTGTACAAGCGAAACATATACACACACTTGTACCTCTGTTCAGGCATTAATACAAGAAGTTATCAGTCCTGTGTAAAAAGTGAAAAAGGCCCCCCCAACAAAAAACCCAACTTCTGTGGTGTAAAAACTTTTTTTGACTAATTTGGTAAACTACTTGACAACCTGCCCAAAAATGATTTGTTGCCTGAACTTAGCTTTGGTAGATTCAAAGTGGCTAACTGCAGTGATCTGAAGGGTAAATCACCAACACCACCATCATGCCCCTGCAGCTCTTGTTAGCAATTCAATAAAGTTTAAGGGGACTTTAATAGAATGCGAAATGGGCTCCATTTCGCGAAAAGGACTTATCGTCTACGAAATGGACATTTGTTTGCAAGTTACGGTTTAACAGAGAGAGAAATAATATCATTTTTAATAACTAACGTTTAACATATGACATAAAACTACAGACTGAACTACTTAATAGTACTGCTTTCCTTATAATTCTAAAAAAATAATTGTATCTAGTATCTAGTATCTACGAAATGGAGTTTTCGCCCTCGAAATGGACATTTGTAGGTTAAAATATGGTTTAATTGCAATAGTTAATATCATTTTTATTTCGTAGGCGAAAACTCCATTTCGTAGATACTAGATACGATTATTTTAAATATACAAGTATAAATGAGTTTTAAAAAATTATAAATGATATTATTTCTCTCTGTTAAACTGTAACTTGCAAAACAAATGTCCATTTCGTAGACGATAAGTCCATTTCGCGAAATGCAGTCCATTTCGCATTCTATTACTACCGAGTTTAAGGAAAGAAAGTATTTTTTAGCACTTTATTGCGGGCATGCCTGTAAATTTTGAAATCAGGTCAAATTGTCCCTTGGTTATAATTAATCTTCACCTTCATGGCTTCTTTTGGTCCACTCTTAGTCTCTTCACTTTGAAAGTCAACTTGTCCCCTACCTTTGGTAGTGTTAGTAAAATGTAGCAATTAAATTACATTGTGGAAATTAATTTTTTATTTGAACCTATTGAAAATAAAAACATGACAATTTTTTTTATTTTGTCTTAAAATACCATGTCACCTGACTGTTAATGAAAACTTTACACTAAGATATCAACCTGGATTCAATCTCTTCAACAATTTCTCTATAAATTAACACAGAAAGTTGTCAACCATTATTTTAAAACTGAAGAAAAATAGAATAGAATAAAAACAGTTCATACTAAATCAGTGTGAAAATTTAAAATCTTACCAAGTTTAATTTTTGTTTATTAAAAAATCCAATTGTAGATAGTTGTCTAATAATAATTAGTTTTCGGACAATATATGATTGATAATTGTAATAGTTAGTTTTCTTATAATAATTGATGGATAAGTTGTTAAAATAGAATGCCAGAAATGTAGGATGTATTGAATGTTTAAGCCAACCGCTTGTACTCATGCATACATATTCACTTCCCATTTGATATAAAAAGCAACAAGAATCAGAATCACTGATAACAACAACAACAGAGATAATTGTTATCCTTTATCAATACAATTTTTAACAGGAAGTAATAATTTTTATCAGACTTACATTAGGAAGTTATATCTTAACAATCATGGCCATGGTCATTTGAATACAGTCATCGAATTTAGCACTGGCCCGGTGGTCCATGGCCAGTGAAAAATAGTTCGGGCCAGTGAAAATTTTAAGAAAATTTAGTTAATTAAATATATAGTAGAATAAATTCAAAACTGGAATTCCGGCTAGTAAATTCAAAATCTTAAATTCATTGATTGTGAATATTGCATTGGAAGTTACAAAGGTATCACGGAAGTTTTTCAGAGAGTTGAGGGATCTACTAGGGGCTATCCAAATTGTAATAATAAAACAAAAAGAACATGCATTGGTATTTACTGGACCAGTGGCAGTGGTCTGTAATGCTTCATTAGTTAGCATAAGAAGTATATCACTCTTTTTCAAAGTACTTATCAGCCCTTAATGATTAATGTCCCTTTGAGTGGAGCAGTCATGTTAGAGGTACAATAAAACTCTAAAAACTGTGCAGGATTCAGGTACCATAATAATTGAATTGGTTCTTTTTTGTCATTCTTGTATCATGGTCTGCAGTGTAAGAAATTCAGATTTGAATCCACTAGGCAGGGCGGACTACTAGATTGGATTATTCACTAGCCCAATAGACATTTCACTAGCACGATTCATTTGTTCAAAACAGTTGTTTATAGATCTATTGCCTCTGAAAATTATACAGTAGCCAGGTCAGGCTTGTTACTGTGAAAAGTTGGTAGCCCAAGGAGAAATTTAGTAGTCAGGGGCTATAGGACTACTGCTAATTTCGCACACAGGGTCTGACTTTGACTAAATGGAGTTATTAAAACTTGCTGACTAATATTCTGTAAATTATAACATTGTTTTACTTTGTTATTTTCTAGGTACTATGACCAGCTTACAGCTATTGAAAACAAACTTCCTGTGGCAGAGAATCAGGTCTGTTTTGTTCAATTCTTGTTTGTTGTTGTTGTTCTTTGTTTGTTTATCAGATGGAACATAAAGACATTATCAGATGGAACATCAAGACATAAAATGTTTGTTTTAAATTATGTAAACTGAAAATAACTTTAATTAATATCAGGGCCAAAACACCATTTTTGGGGAAGGGGCCTCAGCCTTTTTCTTGGGGAAAATATGTGTGATTTTGGCATACTTTGGGAAAAGGGGTCTCAAATTTAACACAAACTTTTAACAAGTTCTTTAAAATAGAAAAGCAAAAAGCACTGGGAAATACAAATGAGGCAGTCAAAATCCTTAATTCAACACCATCATTTAATTTTGTTCTTAATTCTATGGGAAATTTCAAAAGACTGGGGAATTTTGAGGACCAAACTGGGGAAAAAAAGAGGCTAGTTTTGTTGGGGAAGTAGCCTATATTCGGCCTCTACAAAGAAGGGTTTTTTGGCCCTGAATATATTCTGTAAGGTAACAACTTACTGGGATGATTGTTGTGAAGTCAAGAAGTTGATTAGCCATTTACATTATATCTTGTTTAAAGGCACATTATACCTCAGAAAGAATAAATATTTCATTCTTTAAAAAGTGATTTTATTTGTTTTGTAATGTTCAAATAATCGTTTTAGAGCATGTAAATGATGTTAGATGCTTATCACCTGACAGCACTGAGTCGTCCAGAGTGTGAAATTATTTGTCATAAAAGTAGCAAATTGTAAACAAAGTAGTATTTTATCTTTCATGCAAAATACTAAATCACTATAACTATACTAATTGTCAAAGGCAACAGAAGCAAAAGATGGTTCAGGTAATTGGCCAATGAGTAACTTTTTGAAAAGTATAACACAACACCAAAAGATAAAAAAGGCTCTGCCACAGGCAATCGGTGCGTGGCTTGGATAGTATACATGTACATGACCACCTGCTCTTATTTTTTATAAATATTTTTTTTTTTCACTAATAAAATATTTTTTCATTCAAAATGTTTTTAAAATATCTTATTTTCAATAAATCAACAAAGGAAATTTGTTTTTAAAAATTTCATCCATATATACTATAAATATAGTATATTTATAGTATATATAGATGAAATTTTTAAAAACAAATTTCCTTTGTTGATTTATTGAAAATAAGATATTTTAAAAACATTTTAAATGAAAAGAATATTTTTATTAGTGAAAATTTTTTTTATAAAAAATAAGTGGGCGTGGTCATGTACATGTATACTATCCAAGCCACGCACCGATTGCCTGTGGGCTCTGCCGTTAAAAAATAAAAATAAGTGTTTCTGGGGCCTAATGTGCCTTTAATTTAAGTAAATGATAAAAAATTGAATTGTTTTATAAATTAGATATTGATGTAAGCATATGACTGTGTTCAAGTGTCTTGTATTAATATTGCAGTAATCTTGTTTACAGATACGTGTGCAGTTTAAGTGGAGAGATGCTTTTGACAAAGATTCCCTGTTTTCTGGCAAGAACACACTTGGTATGTATAGATATCATTTAATATCAGGTCAAAATTATAAACAGTCTTTTTTTCTTTGTTCAAATTTTCTATGATTAGTGCATGTATAAAAGTGTTTCTTATGAATAAGTCACACACATTACATATGTATGTTAATAATGACATTTGTATGACATTTTCATTTAGGTCAGGTTGAACTTTTTGTTGCAAAGACTACGAGTTAGATGTCTAAAATAGTATCCTTTATTTTCACATTTCAAAGTCTTCAATGTTTTGAGAAGTCTTGTTGTCTTCTTATAAAATTTTTAAAGAAATATGTTGCTGATTTCTAGCTTTGTCATAATACATATCAAGGGTACACAGGGCTCTACAAATTTTTTTGGAATAGAGTTGTCCAGGACAACTGACCTAGCAAAATAGAGTTGTCCCAAAATTGACCACAAGTGTCCAAGTCTCGGTAAATGTTCAGTATGCGTAGTATGTATACTATATCCAAAGAAGAAGTAAAAACAATTAATTTTTAGCTCGACTATTCGATAAGAATAAGTAGAGCTATTGCAGTCACCCGAGCGTCGGCGTCGGCGTAACCACTTATGTTAAAGTTTTTGTAATAGTTTAAATATTTTCAAAGTCCATTGACATATGGCTTTGAAACTTTGCACACTTGTTCACCATCATTACCCCAACCTGTAGACAGGAGGAGGTAACTCTATCAAGCATTTTGACAGAATTATGCCCCTTTTTCGACTTAGAATTTACGTTAAAGTTTTTGTAATAGTTCAAATATTTTCAAAGTCCATTGACATATGTCTTTGAAACTTTGCACACTTGTTCACCATCATTACCCCAACCTGTAGACAGGAGGAGGTAACTCTATCAAGCATTTTGACAGAATTATGCCCCTTTTTCGACTTAGAATTTACGTTAAAGTTTTTGTAATAGTTCAAATATTTTCAAAGTCCATTGACATATGTCTTTAAAACTTTGCACACTTGTTCACCATCATTACCCCAACCTGTAAACAGGAGGAGGTAACTGTATCAAGCATTTTTTTTACTATCAAGCACTAAGAATAGTCGAGCGTTGCTGTCCTACCGACAGCTCTTGTTTAATATTTTTAAGTTACATTTTGTATTTCATTTAGTAAAAAATAGAACATTTTGTTTCAACTGAACTAGTTTTGATTGTTCAGCACTCTTCCCAGGTACCTTTCAGCACTGTTCAAGTTCAATAGCCTGTGTAGGCCTATATGTTTTATTTCAGTTTTATTTTTTTTCCTGAATTTTTATCCTTGATCTTGAAAATTTAAGTAAAATTAGATTCCAACATGAATGTAGTTAGCCATAGCCTCTCTCAGTTTCCAAATTTCACATTGGACATGGTAAATAAGAAAAAAGACAGTCATTAATATTACCCGGTAGGGAAATATAAAATATATGATAGTGAATTAGACTATTCAAATACTTAAAAATCTCATCATTATTTATCTTAACATTGTCAAAAGTCCTTTTGATTCATAAGAAACAAAAGATTTTTAAGATTTCTACTTGCTGCAAATGCTTTAAACTTATTAAAACTGCCTCACGATTTATATAAAAAAAATCGGCATCGTGAAAAGATGTGACAAATGAAAAATTTTCTGTTTTCCTCATAAATTATACTATTTTGACTATTGTATGTTCGAATGCATTCAAAATAGATGCTTTTTGAATATTTTAATATTGTTTTCCACTTAGGAATTTATCAAAAAGCCTAAAACAAAAAATTCCAAATTTTTAATTCACGGCACAAATTACTGTCTGCTTGTGTCAATATATCAAATTCAAAGACCAAGTCTGTGACTTAATAATGTTTTTGACATGTCTATAATAATGTTGGACTTTGTCTTTAAGATTTTTATCAAACATTTAGTGTCTTATCTATTTTTATTGCCTGTGGCAATGTAAAATTAATCAGCATAGCAACTGCTGAGATTGATTGCCTCAGGCGAAGATTACCGGCGCACCATGCTGTGAAGGGTCGTATTAATAAACATAATTTTACAGTTGTCCAAGATTAGCATCTGTCAAAATTTGACTTGTCCGGGACTAACTTTCTGCTTATTGTCAGTTGTCCCAAGTGGTTTTAGAGTTGTCCCGGACGTGGGACTATAGGATTTGTAGAGCCCTGGTACACTGCAAAACTGGTGTAAATCATTTTTTAGCTCACCTGTCACAAAGTGACAGGGTGAGCTTTTGTGATCGCTTTTCGTCCGGCGTCCGTCCGTCCGTCCGTCCGTCCGTAAACTTTTACTTTAAATGACATCTCCTCATAAACCACTAAGCCAATTTCATCCAAACTTCACAGGAATGTTCCTTTGGTGGTCACCTTTAAAAATTGTTCAAAGAATTTAATTCCATGCAGAACTCTGGTTGCCATGGCAACCGAAAGAAAAAACTTTAAATATCTTCTTTTAAAAAATCGTAAGAGCTAGAGCTTAGATATTTGGCATGAAACATCTTCTAGTGAGTGTCTACCAAGTTTGTTCAAATAAAAGCCCTGGGGTCAAAATTGGCCCCGCCCCGGGGGGTCATTGATTTTCCCTATATACATATAGTAAAAACTTAAAAAATCTTCTTTTAAAGAACCAAAAGAGCTACAGCTAAGATATTTAGCATGAAACATGTTCTAATGGGTGTCTACCAAGTTTGTTCAAATAAAAGCCCTGGGGTCAAAATTGGCCCCGCCCCGGGGGGTCATTGATTTTTCCCTATATGCATATAGTAAAAACTTAAAAAATCTTATTTTAAAGAACTCAAAGAGCTATGGCTAAAATATTTAGCATCAAACATGTTCTAATAGGTGTCTACCAAGTTTGTTCAAATAAAAGCCCTGGGGCCAAAATTGGCCCCGCCCCAGGGGGTCATTGATTTTCCCTATATGCATATAGTAAAAACTTAAAAAATCTTCTTTTAAAAAACCATAAGAGCTAGAGCTTAGATATTTGGCATGAAACATCTTCTAGTGAGTGTCTACCAAGTTTGTTCAAATAAAAGCCCTGGGGTCAAAAATGGCCCCGCCCCGGGGGGTCATTGATTTTCCCTAAATGCATATAGTAGAAACTTAAAAATCTTCTTTTAAAGAACCAAAAGAGCTAGAGCTAAGATTTTTAGCATGAAACATGTTCTAATAAGTGTCTACCAAGTTTGTTCAAATAAAAGCCCTGGGGTTAAAATTGGCCCCGCCCCAGGGGGGTCATTGATTTGCCCTTTATGCATATAGTAAAATCTTAAGAAATCTTCTTTTAAAGAACCAAAAGAGCTAGAGCTAAGATATTTAGCATGAAACATGTTCTAATGGATGTCTACCAAGTTTGTTAAAATAAAAGCCCTGGGGTCAAAATTGGCCCCGCCCCGGGGGGTCATTGATTTTTCCCTATATGCATATAGTAAAAACTTAAAAAATCTTATTTTAAAGAACTCAAAGAGCTATGGCTAAAATATTTAGCATCAAACATGTTCTAATAGGTGTCTACCAAGTTTGTTCAAATAAAAGCCCTGGGGCCAAAATTGGCCCCGCCCCGGGGGGTCATTGATTTTCCCTATATGCATATAGTAAAAACTTAAAAAATCTTCTTGTAAAAAACCATAAGAGCTAGAGCTTAGATATTTGGCATGAAACATCTTCTAGTGAGTGTCTACCAAGTTTGTTCAAATAAAAGCCCTGGGGTCAAAATTGGCCCCGCCCCGGGGTGTCATTGATTTTCCCTATATGCATATAGTAAAAACTTAAAAAATCTTCTTTTAAAGAACCAAAAGAGCTAGAGCTAAGATTTTTAGCATGAAACATGTTCTAATAAGTGTCTACCAAGTTTGTTCAAATAAAAGCCCTGGGGTTAAAATTGGCCCCGCCCCGGGGGGTCATTGATTTTCCCTTTATGCATATAGTAAAATCTTAAGAAATCTTCTTTTAAAGAACCAAAAGAGCTAGAGCTAAGATATTTAGCATGAAACATGTTCTAATGGGTGTCTACCAAGTTTGTTCAAATAAAAGCCCTGGGGTCAAAATTGGCCCCGCCCCAGGGGGTCATTGATTTTCCCTATATGCATATAGTAAAAACTTAAAAAAATCTTCTTTTAAAAAATTCAAAGAGCTATGGCTAAGATATTGAGCATCAAACATGTTCTAATAGGTGTCTACCAAGTTTGTTCAAATAAAAGCCCTGGGGTCAAAATTGGCCCCGCCCCGAGGGGTCATTGATTTTCCCTATATACATATAGTAAAAACTTAAAAAATCTTCTTTTAAAGAACCAAAAGAGCTACAGCTAAGATATTTAGCATGAAACATATTCTAATAAGTGTCTACCAAGTTTGTTCAAATAAAAGCCCTAGGGTCAAAATTGGCCCCGCCCCGGGGGATCACTGATTTTCCCTATATGCATAGGGGTTGGGGGCCTATATACAGGTGAGCGACCTCAGGGCCATCATGGCCCTCTTGTTACTTCATATAAGTTACTGTAGTTTTGCGGTCAATCCTAGATATGATATTTGTGAAATGTGAAACACTCTTTTTATATTTCATGGAACATATATAGATATGTATATTATAATAAGTTGTTGAAAATCATTTCATCCTCACATCTTTTAGCTATTGCGTCTGGAGCCTATGAAAAGGTGTGTGTGATATTCAACATTGGAGCTTTAATGTCACAGATTGCCGAAGTACAGAATCATGAAAGTGATGAGGGTCTGAAAACATCTGCTAAATATTTACAGGTTTGTTTGCATTTCCTGATTTAATTAAAGCAATAAACATTGTTTCTGAGCCGGGCAAAATTCAAAGAAGATCTGTTTTACTATTTAAACATATTTGTAGAATTCTGAAACATTACATTTGATTTATTTTACTCAATTTTGATTTATTAAACAGTACTTGTGTCAAATGAGCTACATGTACAAAATGTATACACAATTGTGACCTAAATATGATTATAATAGCCAGTGCAGTATTCACATCTACTGTAACACAGTCTAACTAGACTGTAACACAGTCTAACTAGACTGTGTTGTTAGTAGTTGCTTAAGATCAGATATTGAAATTCCTTGAACTGAAGCATGACTGTTCCAAATTTGAAGCTGGGCAAGTCTATTATATTAAAATAGGGGTATAAGTTTGTGGTGAATCTCATCAGACTACAGTTTCAATTATAAACAGGGATTTGATTTGATAAAAAGATTGCTGGTTATAAATATTGCAACATCCTGGTTATTTAGTGTAGATTTCTCATAAAATTCATATGTCTATAAATTTCACCATTTTTCTCATAAATTTGTATCCCTGCTAGTAAAATGTAATGGTCATGCCCTGCTTTAGATTTGGGAAATTGGGATTGATATTGTAAACTTTAGGGATTTCAATATAACTTTTTGTTTGTATCAGTTGACAAGACAGCATGGGCTCTCTAAAAATTAAATTATCATTCCTAACTTTTAGGAAGGTGTTTAATTATACAGAATATTAATTTTGATGGTTGATATCTCTGCATACAGCTTTTTGTTAAGACCTTTAGTACATAAGTGTTTTGCTCATTTGCTACACTTGAGTTTATATTTTAAATATGAAATTAATAAATTTAATTTAAACCAGGGCTGAAAATATGTCACCTTGTCTAAAACCTATTCTTCCCATTTCAATGATTTATCATTCTTGATTTTCCCCATTAGAAAGCCACAAGTTGAAAATTAAAATTAAAAAAAATCACTGTCATTGTCATCATCGGACCATGCAAGTTTGTCCTTTCATTAAACTATTACAAGGAGTTCGACTTTGACGGGACCAAATTTTCTTTTCGACTAAACAGGAGTCTCGGTAAGTCAAAATTTGACCTAAGCGGAGTTAAAATACAAAGATAAAGAAGGAAATTTGACGGGACTTTAGAAATTCTTCGACTAACGCGGAATTTTGAGTAAAGCGATTTTGACTTATTGAGAGTCAACTGTAATTTAATTTATTATTGTACATGTATATACAATATAATATGAACATTTGTGCTGACTTGTACTTTGAATTTTTGTTTTTATTACCACAGCAAGCTGCAGGTATATTTGGGCACTTAAAGGACACCTCATTGTCAGTGTGTAGCCAGGATCCTACCCCTGACCTGGCCCCAGACACGCTAAATGCCCTCACATCCCTAATGTTAGCTCAGGGACAGGAGGCCGTGTACAGGAAAGCTGCTACAAGTTAGTATTGTTTCTCTCAGATATTCTCGCATCTTCTTTATGCTATTATGTCACCTTAGCACAGTAAGGGTAAAGTCCTTCTAAACTTAATAGGAGTTAACCAGTTATTGCACTAAGGTGATGTTTAGTTCATACTCCAAGTCTCTGCTGAAATGTTGAGAAACTATATAGAAATATGCCATAGCATAAAAGGCCAAAAATACTTCATTTTGATGCGTGCTGTTGTAAATTCAATGTGGCTTTCTGTCGTGATTCAGAGTGTTATCTACCAACACTACTACAGTCATTTTCAAAATGGCAACTGGTTAACACAGCTGGTTTAAAATTTTTCCAAAATATGGATATTTTTATGTTGCCTTTTTTGTCTGTCTGCTTCCGTACACATAGTATGATAGTTATGTTGTGATACATACAGTAGAAGACAATGAAGATTATCATTAAATTCTATTAGTGACTGATACAATCTTTTGATGAACTTATTTACAGAAAGAAGAAAAGATGGTATATTCTGACAACCATACAGGAGCCAGTTTGTGTTTCAATCAGGACTTAAATTATTGACATTTAATCAAACTTTATTCCAAGTTACATCAATATGGGTGATATTTTTTTAGGATTTTTAGACATAAAAAGGCCATCTCACAACATTATTCAATCTTGGATTTTAAGGATTTTTAAACATATAACTGACACCCCAGTTACAGTTATTGGATATTCTAGATTTTTAAAAAAACTAGTATTATATCTATTTTACAGGTATGAAGGAGGCGATGGTTGTGAAAATAGCATACCAATGTTCCGACCTGTATGCTGATGCCATGAAACTGATGCAGTTACCATCTCTCAAAGAACTGTGGCCAAGGGTAGGATTAAAATGATACATTAACCTTTATCACGCTGAATAATTGTTTTTTAATGGAGGAACTAGATGAATTCTGAACAGTCCTATTTGTATCTGTTTAAAATTGGTAATCTTGTGCGTTTTAAGTTGATTTTGAAGAATAACATACGCCCGATACGCACATTATATGGAACTCTGTAACAGTTCTGGATTTCAGTATCAATATAATAGTTTTAAGCAGTATAGTGTAGATCCAGTCAGTTTGCAGGAAATGAATTTATTTGCCTGAATGATTTTTAACAGCCCTAGATAAGAAATTTGAACAAATATTTCATGTTTAGTTTGAAACAATGACAGGAGTTCTCCTCTGATGAATGTTAATGTCAGAAAAAGACATTTAAGTTTCCTCTGATGAATGTTAATGTCAGAAAAAGACATTTAAGTTTCTTCCAAATTGGTCACACTTGTTTTTTTACACCCTTCAGATGGTAATTTATATGTGTTTCAGGATTGGCTAGTTTCTGTTGCTATGAAGCAAGCAGCTTTTCATTCTCTGGCAGAGTTCTACCAGTCAGTTGTGGCTCAGAAATCAAAATGTTACGGAGAACAGATTTCACGATTAAAGGTAAGTTAGTATGATGATCATACAGTGTTGAATGATAGCGAGGGTTGATATGAGTGATAACAAGAGTAGATTGATAAATGTCTCTCTTTTGTGAACATTTCATTAAAATCTCATATGTTTTATGTAAATATAAATATTAAATATTAATTGTGCATTAGTTTTGTTCCACTGAAACAAATGCAGTGATGTGGAGAAAAGTTTTCAAAAGATCTTCCTACTCAATACGTAAAATTTATTTATTTTATGCTTTTCTCTCGTGGATTTGTGACTCTTATTTTGAAAAATTGCACCTGCACAACAAATATCAGACATATATACAGTTTAATTAGTGCATTTGTTAAATAAATTCATTATCTAAAAATTCAAAAACTTTAAATTACTTCTAAAAACAACCGCTCAAAGATTAGAGCATCTGAACATGTCAACCATAACTGTCTTGCTCAGCTGAACGCTTACCCATCGATTCGTGAAATCCGATTCACCCTGTGACGTCATCAAAATATAGGTGCTCACACCACTAAATGTTCGCATGGTTATTTTTAGTCCAATCTGATCAATATATGTCTCAAAGTCTTAAGTAAATTCTTACAGCATAATGAATATTTTTTTGGCTTAATTGTAAGTGTGTTTGATAAATTTTAACATCAATATCGAATATTCTAAAGTAATTAGGTCATGAGCTGATTGTAGGGTAAGCACATTTTATACCTGTTCAATTACGCATTTTGATTGGATGGAATTGTCAAATCGAGTGTCTATTAAAACTTGTGTGGTTTTCGGATGGTGTATGTCCTTGCAGAAGTATTTATACTGGACATTTATTTAGGTCACGAATCGATGGGAAGGCACGAATCGATGAGAATAAGGCATACTTTATTATGTGTAAAGTAAAGATTACAAATAAATATTATTTTAACTAAATGCAGAGATACATGTATTTTTCAACACCAGATTGTTATAGTAAGGGACCCTTTAATGCCTATGGGGGTTTGTAAGGGATCTTAGATATTCACAATGATTTGCCCAGTATGGAAGAAGAAATATAAGATATACTTGTAGATGAGATGAAGTAATTAAGCAGTATAGGAGCTCCATGAGAAATTAAGATATTTGACTGCCAACCACAAGCCCCTCATCACTGCAGATTCAAAGCTCGTCTGGGAAGTTGGGCTATTTTCATGTACACAAGCCTACCTTAATGTTGATAGAAAATCATCTGTTTTACTCATGTCCCAACTTGTGCTTCATATTATCAAGAGAAGCGTATCGTAGGTCTACTAGTACTGTTTGAATGTTGCCATATTTCACAAAAGTGTACATGTGTTTAGAAAGCTTTTAGAAAGGGAGAAGATACACTGTGAAATTTGCTTTCTTTATGATGGTTTGCATAAAAAAACTTTTTAAATATGAGTTGCTATAAAATATATTAAAGATATAATGGTCATAGTAAACATTCAAATTATGCAATAATGTTTATCAGTGTGTCATGATTTGATAGTATAAATTTTTTTTTTATATCAATAATAAATAAATATTTATAAAATTATAGCATGCCAAAGAATTGATGGCAGCTGCAGCAACCAGAGGGGGCATGTGTTTCAATTTCAAGAATGAGCAGGGTAAAATACAGCGAGAACTTGAGGCTGCACAGAAAGATAATGATTTTATATACCACGATAAAGTACCGGATGTTAAGACATTACCTGCCCTCGGTAAACTAGCCGTGGCCAAACCTCTCCCTATTCCAGAGAAATTTTCAACCAGCTTCACTGGTAAGGAAACACTAAATAAATGTTTATAACATAATATTTATTAGGGTGGTCACGTTTTCTGATATTTTAGAAATGTATACATAATTATGAAAAAATTTTACTTTTGGTTTGTCTGTGAAATTATCTGATAAACTCTGTAGGGTTTTGTTTTTTCAAATACTGCATTCAATGTCAACAGTATCAAATGAAATACACGACATCTGTCCTATAAGGGTCGAAATAACTTTGTTTTTCAATGAAGATTTTTCCCATAGTAATCTTTTCAGACTTAAATTAAAAGGTCAAAGGTGTCAGCTAGAAACAGGGTCAAAGATTTCAGCGAAAAACATTTATGTTTGCTTTCGAACTTTGAACTACTTGAGGGATTGTTTATATTCATGATGATAGGCCAGATTGTTATATTAAGACAGCTTGTAGAACCCACATTTGGGCTGGAAGAAAGTGTGTCAATATTGTTTCAGTTGGGAAATTTAAATAAATGAAATGCAAGTTCAACAAAAAAATTTGTTATTTAACATTCTTATATACATGTACATTTCTGATTAGAGAAAATATAAAATTGATAAATGTATTGCTTAAATATCATGATTTTCTTAATTTTGTAGTGTAAAAAGATGCAGCCAATTGAGATTTTTATTTTTTCAATTGAAAAAAAATTTTTTTTGCCATTTTACCTTAAATACAAATTTCTTTGGATTTGTTATGATGAAACATTTATAATGTTAAGACAGTTTTTGCACATTTGTTTGTTACATTTCACGGTTTAGCTTATATGAAGACTGTATCATATGTTTGTTTTATTTCAGACTTGTTTGAAAAGATTGTGCCAATTCCAGTATATGATGCGTTGAACACGTTTGAAGGTAGAAAATCACAGGTGACAAACATGGAGATAGGTAGATTACGAGAACAGACTACATTGATGAATGGGTAAATATATATATATATTTATATTTCTGTGTGAGTTAACTATTAAATTATATATAGAGTTTACCCATTACTGCCCTAAGGTAATAGTGGTTCATAGTGGTTATGAGGTCAGTCACTAGCTTCTTGAGTGGTCAGGGGCATCCATGGCTGAGTGGTTATGGTCGTTGATTTCAAACCACTTGTCTCTCACCGCTGTGGTTTCGAATCCCAACAGGGACTTTGGATTATATTATTTGAGGAAGCTATCCAGCTAGCTTACAGAATGTCATTGGTTCTACTCAGGTGCTAGTTTGTGCCTGAAATAATGTATGGATGGCCACCTGAGGCCTTCCTCCACTAGTAAAGCTGGAAAGTCACCATATGACATATACTGTGTTGGTGCAACATAAAACCCAATCAAGCAAACAATTTTGAGTGGTCTCTGTGGCTGAGCTGTTTAAGTTGCTGACTTTTAATCACTTGCCCCATACCTCTTTAGGATCAGGGTATTTGTATTTTTAGCTCGACTATTCGATAAGAATAAGTAGAGCTATTGTAGTCACCCGAGCGTCTGCGTCGGCGTCGGCGTAACCACTTATGTTAAAGTTTTTGTAATAGTTCAAATATTTTCAAAGTCCATTGACATATGGCTTTGAAACTTTGCACACTTATTCACCATCATGACCCCAACCTGTAGACAGGAGGAGGTAACTTTATCAAGCATTTTGACAGAATTATGCCCCTTTTTCGACTTAGAATTTATGTTAAAGTTTTTGTAATAGTTCAAATATTTTCAAAGTCCATTGACATATGGCTTTGAAACTTTGCACACTTGTTCACCATCATGACCCCAACTTGTAGACAGGAGGAGGTAACTCTATCAAGCATTTTGACAGAATTATGCCCCTTTTTCGACTTAGAATTTATGTTAAAGTTTTTGTAATAGTTCAAATATTTTCAAAGTCCATTGACATATGGCTTAGAAACTTTGCACACTTGTTCAACATCATGACCCCAACCTGTAGTCAGGAGAAGGTAACTCTATCAAGCATTTTGACAGAATTATGCCCCTTTTTCGACTTAGAATTTATGTTAAAGTTTTTGTAATAGTTCAAATATTTTCAAAGTCCATTGACATATGGCTTTGAAACTTTGCACACTTATTCACCATCATGACCCCAACCTGTAGACAGGAGGAGGTAACTCTATCAAGCATTTTGACAGAATTATGCCCCTTTTTCAACTTAGAATTTACGTTAAAGTTTTTGTAATAGTTCAAATATTTTCAAAGTCCATTGACATATGGCTTTGAAACTTTGCACACTTGTTCACCATCATGACCCCAACCTGTAGACAGGAGGAGGTAACTCTATCAAGCATTTTGACAGAATTATGCCCCTTTTTCGACTTAGAATTTATGTTAAAGTTTTTGTAATAGTTCAAATATTTTCAAAGTCCATTGACATATGGCTTTGAAACTTTGCACACTTGTTCACCATCATGACCCCAACCTGTAAACAGGAGGTGGTAACTGTATCAAGCATTTTTTTTTACTATCAAGCACTAAGAATAGTCGAGCGTTGCTGTCCTACCGACAGCTCTTACAGAAGGTCAGTGGTTTAACAAAGGTGCATTCTTGTGCCTGAAATAAGGCATGAAGAAGCACCCATGGTCTTTATCTGCAAATAAAGTTCAAATGGCACCATATGACCTTCACAGGCTTGTTTTAGTTATAATCTTATCTTTGATTTTTCATGATCGTAACCTATGTCTTATATGATAGTCCATACAAAAATTTATTTATATAAATGTTATGAAAATGATATTTATTTGTTAAACGGTTATTTAATTGTATCTTTACTTTGAAATTTACCATTACAGAGTATTAGCATCTTTAAATCTGCCAGCAGCTCTAGAAGATGTAGGCGGAGATAAAGTCCCACAGTCTGTGCTTGACAAAGCTCAGCAAATAAAAGATATGGGCGGTCTGCAGTATCTTGATAAGTTAACCTCAGATTTGCCCGAACTTCTGGTCAGAAATAGAGAAATACTGGATGAGGTAAAAAAAAACTTTATTTTAATAGAAGCATGTAGTTAATTTGGATGATTTATTCAATGATTATTATTTATGAAAAACAGGGAATCTTAAATGTAATATATTAATGTTGCAATATATTATCCATGTTACATTTTATCTTTTGTTTAAGTTATAAAATATTGTATGATATAGTGAGTTACAGTGTATCATCTGCTCCTGTGTTAGTGTTTATCTTCTATGATATAGTGAGTTACAGTGTATCATCTGCTCCTGTGTAAGTGTGTATCTTCTATGAAATAGTGAGTTACAGTACATCTTCTGCTCCTCTGTTAGTATGTATCTTTTATGATATAGTGGGATACATTGTATCGTAAGCATCTGTATTAGTGTTATAGTGAGTTACATTGTATTTTCTTTCTGCTCCTGTGTTAGTGTTAATCTTATTTGCAATAGTAAGTTACAGTGTATCTATTGCTTCTGTGTTGGTGTGTATCTTCTGTGTTAGGGTGTATATTTAGAAATGTGTTACTGTGTATCTTGATCTTTGTTACAGTGTATCTTTATCTTTTTTACAGTGTATCTTTATCTTTGTTACAGTGTATCTTTATCTTTGTTACAGTGTATCTTTGTTTTTGTTACAGTGTATCTTTATCTGTGTTACAGTGTATCTTTATCTCTGTTACAGTGTATCTTTATCTGTGTTACAGTGTATCTTTATCTGTGTTACAGTGTATCTTTATCTGTGTTACAGTGTATCTTTATCTTTGTTACAGTGTATCCGTATGTTGGACGAGGAGGAGAAATCAGACACCCAATTAAAAGAACAGTTTAAAGAACGCTGGACAAGAACACCGTCTGCTAGCCTTACAAAACCAATGAGAGAAGAAAGTGCTAAATATAAAAACATTCTAGACACAGCGATTGGAGCTGATAAAATTGTTCAAGAAAAATACAATGCACACAAAAATGCAATGTCATTGCTGTCAAAACCAACAGTATGTATATTCTTATAGAGCACATAACAGTGATTTGTATAAGCCTAATGAATATAATTGCTGAAATATCCTAATTTTATCTTGAAAATTCCTAAATTTATCTTGAAAATTCCTAATTTTTTCTTGAAAATTCCTAAATTTATATGAAAATTCCTAATTTCCCCCGCCGAAAAAGTTCGGCGGGGGATATAGAAATAGTCTCCGTCCTTCCGTCCGTCCGTCAGACCTTCCGTCCTTCCGTCCGTCCTTCCGTCCGACATTTTTGTCCGGAGCATATCTCTAAAAGTATTTGAGTTATCAACTTGAAACTTCATAGGTGGATAGACCTCATTGAGGAGGAGTGCAGTGCACAAGAATGATAACTCTACCCTGCATAATTTTTGAGTTATTGCCCTTTGTTATTTTTCAAAATTGATTTTTGTCCAGAGCATAATCCAAAAGCCTATGAGATATCAACATGAAACTTCATAGGTGCATAGATCTCACTCAGGAGGTGTGCAGTGCACAAGAATGATAACTCTACCTTTTCATAATTTTTATACGCCCGTTGAAAAACGGGACGTATTATGGGAACGCCCCTGGCGGGCGGGCGGCGGGCGGGCGGCGTCCAATTTTTGTCCGGAGCATATCTCCTACATGCATTGAGGTATTTTAATGAAATTGCACAGAAATGTTCATCACTATGAGAAGAATTGTGTCGTGCACATGAACCAGGTATCTAGGTCAAAGGTCAAAGTCACACTTAGAGGTCATTGAAAAACGCTTGTCCGGAGCAAAACTTCTACATGCATAGAGGGATTTCAATATTACTTGGCACAAATGTTCACCATTGTGAGGCGGAGTGTCGCGTGCAAGATTCAGGTCCTTGCGGCCAAGGTCAAGGTCACACATAGAGGTCAAAGTTCAGATAAAAAATATGAAGGTTTGTATAAGGACCATTAGGGATTGTAACACAAATGGTCATAATCATTACTACGGCTGTAAAACTTGTAATTTAGGTCAATATATGCAATGTCGAGGTTACAAAAGATGATGAAATATCCAGATTTTTGTAAATAGAATTTAATCAAAGGGCGACAACAAAGTTATTACTTTGTTCATAAATGACTTACACAATTACTCCCCTTGATCTACTTTCACTTTCAATTCTAAAAATAGAATTTAATCAAAGGGCATGAAATAATCCTCTTTCTTGGACTTGAGTATGTTCTAAAGAATGTAACATTTATTTACACATGTTTCATTCATTGGTCAAGATTCTTAACTGTGATAACTATGGTGTTCTGTAGACTTGGTATTTGTTCATAAAGATCATACAGTAATTACCTTATCAAATGTAAATACTTTCTCATAGAAATTTAATTATATTTTAATTTTCAAGTAAATATCAGTTCAGCTCATTCAAAGATTAAGAATTGTAATGAAATGTATTTCCCTAGAATAAAATCTTAAATCATAATTTTTTAGTTATTAAATTACAATTACATGTACTTTTTATCTTCCCTACTGATTTGTTTTAAGGTTCATTTAACAACACAGTGCCAAGGATAAAAACTTGCTTGCTAGATAACACTTATCCATAATACCCCCATCTCCATCTAAAGCTTTCGTAAACGGGCGTATTTTGTGACTATGGCACCCTTGTTGAGTTATTGCCCTTTGTTATTTTTTTTACTTAATTTTTCACCTGAGTGAAGCATAACTCAAAATGTGTTTGAGATATCAACATGAAATGTCATAGGCGGATAGATCTTATGGAGGAGGAATGTTGTGTGCAAGAATGATAACTCTTCCCTATACAATTTTTGAGTTATTGCCCTTTGTTCTTTTTCATACTATTTTGTCCAGAGTTTATCTCAAAAAGTATTTGAGGTATCAACTTGAAACTTCATAGGTGGATGGATCTCATTAAGGAGGAGTGCAGTGCACAAGAACAATAACTCTACCCTGCATAATTTTTGAGTTATTGCCCTTTGTTATTTTTCAAAATTAATTTTTTGTCCAGAGCATAACTCTAAAAGCCTTTGAGATATCAAAATAAACTCATAGGGCATAGATCTCACTCAGGGGGTGCAGTGCACAAGAATGATAACTCTACCTTTCATAATTTTTGAGTTATTGCCCTTTGTTATTTTTTTATACCTAATTTTTCACCCGAGTGGAGCATAACTCAAAAGTGTTTGAGATGTCTACATGAAATGTCATAGGTGGATAGATTTTATTGAGGAGGAATGCTGTGCACAAGAATGATAACTCTTCCCTGTAGAGTTATTGCCCTTTGTTCTTTTTCATACTATTTTGTCCAGACTTTATCTCAAAAAGTATTTGAGGTATCAACTTGAAACTTCATAGGTGGATGGATCTCATTAAGGAGGAGTGCAGTGCACAAGAACGATAACTCTACCCTGCATAAATGTTTAGTTATTGCCCTTTTTTTTTTTCAAAATTAATGTTTGTCCAGAGCATAACTCAAAAGGCCTTTGAGATATCATTATGAAATTTCATAGGGGCATAGATCTAATTCAGGAGGTGTGCAGGGCTCAAGAATGATAACTCTACCTTTTATAATTTTTGAGTTATTGCCCTTTGTTATTTTTCATACTTAATTTTTCAATTCAATTTTTTTCTCAAAAAGTATTTGAGGTATCAACTTGAAACTTCATAGGTGGATAGATTTTACTGAGGAGGGATGCAGCACACAACAATGATAACCTACCCTGAATTATTTTTCAGTAATTGCCCTTTGTTATATTCAGCCATCAGTATTCACAAAGGTTTCAAATCTGTAATCACTATAGCCATCAGTTTTCATTACCAAAAGACCTCCTAAAAGGGAATTATTCTGCTCTACTACTTGTACATTCTTCCAATGTGCAAACACATTCGGCGGGGGATGGCCATGTTGACATGGCTCTTGTTTTTTCTTGAAATTTCATCAGAATTGTCTTTTAAGTATATACATGTACTGACGTTAGATGAAAAACATCATTTTTACTTATAAGTAGAAAGTGAATGCTTTAATACATGTAGGTCTCTTTAATTTTCCATATCTTTGTATTGCTGTTATGTTAAAATGTCAAATAATTTTAAGGCATCATGGGTTTTTGCTTAAAGAAAAAAAATCACTGTCAGTGTCTAATATTACTACTTTATTACACATTAATAGTAAAATTTTAGTAAATGACAAATTGCAGAGTGATTCCTGATAATGTTTCAGTAATAACATGTTTGAATTTATCAGTTATCTAATTTGAATTTATCACTTGTCTAATTAATTTTAGCATGAAATAGAAAAAGCATTACCTAGTTCTGGAAGTAGTGGCTCAGTGTCGGGAAATCCTATAGTAAAAGATCTAAAGAAAATGATGGAAGAAGTGGAGGCACTCAAAGCTGAAAGGGAAGTTATTGAAAATGAGCTAAAAGAATCAAAGTTTGATATGGGTGAGTGTTGTTTTAAGGTATTGTCAGTGGGAAATATAATATAGTTATAGAAAATTTCTTTTGTATTAAAGGTAATGAAAAACCTTTTTGAACTTGGTAAATTGTACATAATCTAGGCTCTTGTTTTACTGTCAAGCACTGAGAATGTTAAGCAGGCTGTCCTATTGACAGCTCTTGTTATGTTATAATTTTGGTTATTGGCACTGTTTATGTGAATATTCTGAACAGCCTATTTTTTGTAAACATTTCTATGAAAGGACCATTTTATAACATGTGAACATTTTTATTGGTCCCATATATGCTTACATTCTCTTTACCCCTTTTTATGTTAACATAAACTTAACATAACAGTTAACATAATTTTTTATTGCCCCCTTTTATCTTAAACGTACAAAATGATCAAGTTAATGTATTTTAGCAAGGACTGATTGGGGGATGTCTGGCCAAGTAGTTAAGATCAATGACTTTAAATCACTTTCCCCTCACTGCTGTGGATTAGAATCTTACCAGGGACTTTGAATTCTTTCATGATAGGAAGCTATCCAGCTAACTTATGGAACGTCAGTAGTTCTACTCAGGTGCTAGTTCGTGCCTGAAATAATGCACGGAGACGCACCTGAGATCTTTTTCCACCAGTAAAGCTGGAAAGTTGCCTTGACCTATACTGTGTTTTTGCAAGGTTTAACTCAACCAAACAAACAAACAAAAACTAATTAAGGAAAATAACATTGTTTTGTAGGCTTATATAAATTATATTGATATTTGTTTTACATTAAAGCTGGAAAGTTTATGGCGGCACTGGCTGCTGATGGTGTAGTTAATGAGGAGATGATATCAAGTCAAGAGTTAGATTCAGTCTATGGTCCCCTCAGACAACAGGTTGTTGACAGCTGTCAGAGACAAGATATGCTTCTAGCTAGGATACAGGTACATTGAAGCATGGTTTTATATTACAGTGATTGTAGATTTTCAACAACATTATTACTTGTATATATTATGTTATTTGTCAGCCTATTTGTTTAATTCAAGTGACATTATGCCCGTTGAAAAGTAAATGCTCAGTGAACAGATAAAAATATCATGATAGTTTGCTATAATTGTGTTTATTTTTATATTTAAATATGAAAGAATAACCAATAATCCACATGTCCAACGGAAATATCTGTAAATATCATCCAGAATGTATCGTTAATGCTCAATTCTTAAAAAGAGAGAGGCAGTCATTTTATAATAAGGCAGTTTTTATATTGTATCATAAATATTTTTCATTATCAATTATTGGTCAATCACTATTATAGTAGCTAGTTCTTTGAATGAAATATGTATATTACTAAGTTTACATAACTTGACAGTGAAAAAATCAGCATAATGTCACATTCAGAAAGAAGAAGCATTAGGATTGCAGACTTAAGATTAACAATACAGTATTTGCTCTTTCTTTAGATTGTCTTTAGCTGTAAGTTGTTCCTTTAGCTGTAAAATACAGAGGGTAGGGTGTATTGTCCATACATATAGTGTATAGTCACATGCTTACACTCTAAATAGCTAGAATAATGCATTATCTGGTTGCTAAAATACTGGTTGCTATCCAGTTGCTAAAATACTGGTTGCTGTCCGGTTGCTAAAATACTGGTTGCTGTCCGGTTGCTAAAATATTGGTTGCTTTATGCTATATTTTGCACCAGCAGGCTCAGGGGTTTATAATATTTTTTGATTTTTTGTTTTAGAATACAAACACACAGTTTTGTCAGAGTAAAGCATCCAATCAGACGGGAGCACAGAGGGAAGCCATGTTGAAAGATTTAGCTGCGGGATATGACGGTTTTATGGAACTTAAAGGAAATCTGGAAGAGGGAACAAAAGTAAACTTTATATTAATATTGAATGAAACTTGTTTGTTTGTTTGTTTGGTTGGGGTCTACGTCACACCAACACAGTGTAAGTCATATGGCGACGTTCTCGCTTTACTAGTGGAGAAAGACCTTGTGTGCCTTCCCATGCATTATTTCTGGCTCGAACAAGCACCTGAGCAGAACCACCAACGTTCTGTGAATGAAACATAAAAAATATAAACAACTTTCAAAAGTTGAAAGAATACATATTGTAAAATAATCTATAAGAACTTCCTTAAATTGCTTTACTAAGTGGACTTTGGAATCATATTCCATTTGAAATATACATTGTAATATGAAATTGGTACAGTATATACAACACATGAATTTATCCAGTTATAAGTCTGAATATTTTTGCTGTGATTATTCGCATAATTGAAATATTAAGATGTTTTAAAACAAATGGAAAGACAGTAAAAAAGGGCTGCTTTAGATAAATTAGAAAAGCTACCAATTACATTTCCAGATGTCCACTTTCATGAACTACCAACCAAACTTAATGTTTCCTGTCTTAATTATTAATACAGATAGATCTCTTATGACATCACAATTTCACTTAAATTGTTCAAAACCGATTCCCAAGCTTCAGTTATTATATTTTCTTTTCTTAACATTGTTATTTTATTTAGTAACATTTGATTATGCATGAATGTTTACTAATTTTAACATTTTGTTATATAATTGTATTTCAGTTTTACAATGATTTAACACCATTGCTGGTACGGCTGCAGAACAAGATTTCCGACTTCTGTTTTGCACGTAAGACTGAGAAAGATGAGCTTATGGCTGACCTGCAGAAGTCCATAGCACGGCAACCTACTGGTCCCCCACCTTCACAACCCCAGTACCAGCAACCACAATCTAGTAAGTGCACAAGGCTTTTGTCTCCTTCAAGCCGAAACTTTCATATTGAATTTTTTAAAAATATAACAGTTTCTCGGTTAAAACCATAGAGCTCTTGGAATTGTAAGTATGATTTGTGGTGAAATGTTTTTCTGAGTTTTATATTGCTTATTAAAGGGTTTAAAGCTATAAATGTCAAAATATAATATGAACACTTCAAAATACTAAATAATCATGTCAAAGAAGTTTCTGTGTAATTGAACATGTATTAATAAATATGAAAACAATAAAGTATTTATAAAATATTCAACTTCATGCACTAATTTTAGAATGCTAAGCAATGATTTTGAACATGTTCCACACACCATCGTTTTTTTACAGCAACGTTCTTTCAATTTAGGTTAATTGGCATGATTTTTTACAAAGATTCAAAGAAGTATTCTACCAAAAAACAAACAAAGTAATATAGCTTTATTCCCTTTAAAAGTTGTTTTTCTTCTTGGATACCATGCTTATGCCTTTTTAGCAATAGAAATCTCACTGTAGAAAGTTTAGATTTTATGGTCACTTATATTTTCAGCCTGATTATTAAAGGCTTAAGGTTTTTTCTGGTACAATGCATATGTAGAATAAATTGCACAATGTAGCACCTGGGTTGCGTTTAATAGAAAGTCCTTAGTCTGAAATCAGTCTTAAGACCAAAACTGAGACAATTTTGTGTTTCAAAGAAAATGTCCTAACTTAAAACTCCTTTAATTTCTGAATAGCAATGCTGCTGGGCATTTTACACATTGCAAATGAAAGGGTCCTTCATTGTATTTCTTAACTTTTTTCAGGATATTGAATTTATTTATAGTCTACATGTTTTGACTGAAGATAAAAATGTTTATTGAAACAATCTTAATTAGTCCTCAAGTTGGTTTTATGTCCTAGAACTTAGGATACACTTAGGACTTTCTATGAAACGCAGCCCTGAGTTTAACAGTATTTTTCCACCATTATTTTTAGAGGTATCATTTTACTATCATATATATCTTTCTATTTTAAGCTCCACTTTTCAAAGAAGCACAGCTTTTGTCATTACCCACTTGGCAGTGGCATTGGTTAATCTATAAGTTTTGGTTAATGGTCATTTATTTCAATTCCACCAAATCTTCCCAGTTTAAAATTCTCAATATGTGGATGCACCTTGATTGCTTTAACATGTTGATTTAATTTTGTTGTTGAAGTTTTTACTCTTAACAGATTTTAGGCAATATTTCAAAGGATTTTTTTTTTGCACAATATTTTTTTTTCTTACTGTTAAAGTTATTTAGAATATTTTCTGGTTGTTTGTCCTGCTTATAGTACTACACTATGTGTATAATTATCAGCCATTTGATTGTAACTCAAATTTTCTCTCTTTCCTATAACTGTTGGTTCATAGAGAATATTTTTTCCGTAAACATGGACTAGAAGTTAGAAGTAAGATATTTTCCAAGAGCACGGATCTAAAGTAAAAATATAAATTCTCACTTCAAAGGTCATGACAGTCGATATTCTCGAAAAATGTAAATGTCACATTTTATGGTTTTCCACATTACTTGTGAGTCATTATCAAAACTGATGTCCAAATAACGCTTATTGATAACATTTTTCGAATTACCTATAATGACAACATAATATGTATTTTTTATGCAGGCTCAGCAGTATCTTTGAATGCATAGAATTGGAATATAATTACATATCTCACTCAGTTTCAGATGGTGTGGTATGACATATATCTCACTGATAAATTTTCAATACTTATTGGAAATACATAAGATTAATAGAGTAACTATTGCAAAAGTAACTCTTGTTGAATTGTAGATAGGTTATACCTTCTTACCTCCCTTGTACTATAAATGTAACTTAGCATGCATCTTTAGGGAGAAATTTTAGCAGCTGTGCTTTACAAAAATTAATTTATATACAATATTGAAATAAATTATTCGGGAAAAAAATGGAATAATGAAGGGAAACATGTGTCAAGTTTTAAACTTTTAGTTACCATTGGTACATGTATATAAGAAGTTACATTAGCAGCAATATTGATTTTGTATAATGTCACACCACAACTTTTTTAGGTCAAAAAACGATGATAATCTTTTTCTTTATCTCTTCCTTGCCTTTTGTCTATATTTATCTTCCTTTGTGTTCTTATACTCTCTTGAGGTCATACAAGATTACAAGGATCTCTTCCTTGTATACTTTCTTATACTTTAGAAAAGTTATATAATCTAACAAGAGCTAAGACTTTTTTTTCCATTTCCACTTTTCACACTGGAAGCTATTACTTGTTATTATGCCCCCATTTCGAAGAAAAGGGGGTATATTGCTTTGCACTTGTCGGTTTGTCGGTCCGTAGACCAAATGGTTTCCGAGTGATAACTAAAGAACCCTTAGGCCTACGAACTTCAAACTTGGTATGGTGATTGGTCATGATCAGTAGATGACGAGTAGATGACCACTATTGATTTTGGGGTCAAGGGGTCAAAGGTCAAGGTCACATTGACCTTGTAAGCGAAAACGGTTTCCGATCAATAACTAAAGAACCTTAAGGCCTAGGAACTTCAAACTTGGTATGGTGATTGGTCATGATCAGTAGATGACCCCTATTGATTTTGGGGTCAAGGGGTCAAAGGTCAAGGTCACATTGACCTTGTAAGCAAAAACGGTTTCCGATCAATAACTAAAGAACCTTAAGGCCTAGGAACTTCAAACTTGGTATGGTGATTGGTCATGATCAGTAGATGACACCTATTGATTTTGGGGTCAAGGGGTCAAAGGTCAAGGTCACATTGACCTCTTGGGTAAAAACGGTTTCCGAGTGATAACTAAAGAACCCTTAGGCCTAGAAACTTCAAACTTGGTATGGTGATTGGTCATGACCAGTATATATATTGATTTTGGGGTCAAGGGTCAAAGGTCAAGGTCACATTGACCTCGTAAGCAAAAACAGTTTCCGATCAATAACTAAAGAACCTTAAGGCCTAGGAACTTCAAACATGGTATGGTGATTGGTGATGATCAGTAGATGACCCCTATTGATTTTGGGGTCAAGGGGTCGAAGGTCAAGGTCACATTGACCCTGTAAACAAAAACAGTTTCCGATCAATAACTAAAGATCCTTAAGGCCTACGAACTTCAAACTTGGTATGGTGATTGGTCATGACCAGCAGATGACCCCTATTGATTTTGGGGTTAAGGGGTCAAAGGGCAAGGTCACATTGACCTTGTAGGTAAAAATGCTTTCCGATCAATAACTTAAGAACCCTTAAGCCTAGGAACTTCAAACTTGGTATGGTGATTGGTCATGACCAGCAGATGACCCCTATTGAGTTTTGGGGTCAAGGGATCAAAGGTCAAGGTCACATTGACCTTGTAGGTAAAAGTGGTTTCCGATCAATTAACTAAAAACGCTTAGGCCTAGGAACTTCAAACTTTGTATGATGATTGGTCGTGACAAGCAGATGACCCCTATTGAGTTTTGGGTCAAGGGGTCAAAGGTCAAGGTCACATTGACCTTGTAAGTAAAAACGGTTTCTGATCAATAACTTAAGAACGCTTAGGCCTAGGAACTTCAAACTTAGTATGGTGATTTGTCATGACCAGCAGATTACCCCTATTGATTTTGGGATCAAGGGGTCAAAGGTCAAGGTCACATTGACCTTGTAAGTAAAAACGGTTTCTGATCAATAACTAAAGAACGCTTTGGCCTAGGAACTTCAAACTTGGAATGGTGATTGGTCATGACCAGCAGATGACCCCTATTGATTTTGGGGTCAAAGGTCAAGGTCACATTGACCTTGTATGTTAAAACGGTTTCCGATCAATAATAAAAGAACCCTTAGGCCTAGGAACTTCAAACTTGGCATGGTGATTGGTCATGACCAGCAGATGACCCCTATTGATTTTGGGGTCAAGGGGTCAAAGGTCAAGGTCACATTGACCTTGTAGGTAAAAACTGTTTCTGATCAATTAACTAAAAACGCTTAGGCCTAGGAACAACAAACTTTGTATGATGATTGGTCGTGACCAGCAGATGATCCCTATTGAGTTTTGGGTCAAAGGTCAAGGTCATGACCAGTAGATACTTGATAACCCTTATTAATTGTTTGATCACTGGGTCAGGAGTCATGCATAATAACCTTATCACATGACTAATTGGCTGCTGATAAGGGGCATACATGTTTTACAAACATATCTTGTTTAATAAGCAGTCATATGTTACGTTTAGGTTTCCTTAAAAGGGAGGGGGGTTTAACATTAAATAGTTTAGAGGGGCGGGAACTTACTTTGGACATAGACATTACATTAAGGCAGACTTTCCTTCAGCTAAAAAAAAAGAACAAGTATCCAAGAAGAAAAAAGTTAATAATGTTTAAACTTTACATTTTTTTTTCTCATTTCAAGTTCTGTTTGATTTTGTTGTTGTTGTTGTTGCACTGTTGTTGTTTCACTTTCAGCAAGACAAGAGCCCCCGGCCAGGCCACCTCCGCCTAATTTCTCAACGGCCCCAACTCAAAACCCCATATCAGTGCCATCTAGTACACCCTACCCAGGTTTGAAGATTTCTTTCATATGACCATTCTATAAAGATATTTAAAATGGCTATTTCCTTGCACATAGGAAAATAATATATTAGATCTGTCAAGTTATTTAAGGTCTCCCTCCATCATTATTTCTAAATGTAATAGTCTGACAAGTTTGACAAGATAGATCGATTATTATTATTTTTTTTTGCCATTTTACAATTTATTTGATCTTGATTAAACATAAAACGTTTGGAAATGACTAATTGTTTTAGAAACTGAATTACTGATGATGGAATAGTTTACTTATACCCTTAGTCTGATGGAACCGAAATTGATAAGCTTTTGTCACCAGTACAAAGCATAGGTCAAGGTCAATATGCACATTTGCTGCATATCTGTACAGCATGATCAGGTTCAATCCTGTTAGTGGGTCAATTTTATATTTTGATATTGAAATCTTATAAACTTTGAATGGACTGTGCTAAAACTCAAAGCTGGGTGAATTCATTACAAAATGCAGGTTGAGGGTGAAGGAAAAGATTGGTTTTATATAATATAGATTAAATATTTTTTGTAGTTTCACAGTAGTGGCTTTATTGTAGTTTTAATTTGCCTTCTGGCACAATTTGTGTTGAAATTTTTCACAGTTATATTGTAAATTAATTTAAATTCAGATATATTTATAATTATGAATAATATTTTTACTATAATATGTTTGTTAAAAAAAATATTAGAAAGACATAAAAGTGAACAGGTGGTATACTAAGCTAATGAGGCCATATTTACATCAGTAATTACAATACATTACCTCAAAAGGAAAAATAGAATAAAATGAAGGCTATGGAGACGATATTACCATTACGTTTTTCATGTTGGGAAGCTTGTTTAAAATTAGCTGTTGACATGAATTGTTGTTTGATAAATTTACACTAAATCGGCTGATGTTTTGTGATTAACTGTCTATAAAATTGAAGCAGTTTATTCAAATGTTTAAGAACTTGCAAACACACAATTGTAATGGTTTTGGAATTTTTATAGAATAGATTACCAGTTATAGCTTTACCCCTTTCATTTTGAATATTTTGAACAATGTTAATTAAGGAAGTAAGACTTAGAGAAAAGAATGTTTCTTGTTCTCATGCCACATTGTGTTTTAGGTGAATTTTCCAAAAATGTTGTCCTAACAAAGTTCAAATATTTGACAGTGATTTTTATTTAAAAACAAAATGTCTTAATTTACAGTAAACTAGATTTTTTATTACACTCTTTTAAAAGCTTTTTAGTTTTGTTATTAATTAAATCTATTTTAGCTTTATATACATGAATATAATAATAATACTTTCTTGAAATAGCAAACTACTGTTTTAAGAGTGTTTTTTTTGGTTGTTTTCTTTTTTCCATACATTAATTTATAATCACCACCTGAAATCTATGTTGGCAACTATCAGAGATAATGTTTATTCATGTAATGTTTATAGGGGTGATTCAAGACACATTAACCCTTCATGTCAGAAACAACAACATGTTTTTTTAGCATGCATTGACATAAATCACCAGATCAAGAAACTCTTGTTTTAATGTCTCAAGTGAAAGAATATTTTCAAACTATGATGCATGTTTTTGCCAAGGATAAAACTTTTTTATTAGATTATTATTATTTTTTTTGCCAGGGATAAAACTTTTTTATTAAAGAATTTATTTATTTATTTCAGCTGCACCAAGTGCACCACAACCGGGATATTCCGGACAACCAGATTCCCAGAATTATGGTAATAACTTATTTTTTATAAGTAAAAAAAGAAAAGATTTTGAACATGTTCCTGTTGGGCAAAGAATATTAGATTTTTGTTTCCCAATTTCACAGTATATAAACAAAATCACTGTACCCTGTCTTGTAAGCCTAGTACCATGTCTGGCGAACAAAAGCACATGTTACTTCTGATCACTTTACCCCTTTTTGGGAGCCTATATATTTTAACTAATGTAAGTTACTTGCGATAACAGGAAGTAGACTTGTTTATATACTGTGTGAATTTAGTGTGAAAGAATTAATGTTATGTTTGATGATAAACAACAGTGTTTGTCACCACTAACATACAAGAGATTTTTTAAAATTATTTGATATAAAAAGACACTAGTTTAGCTATTTCTTGTAGAATCTTCCCAGATACATGGTGAATTTTATATAAGACATTGTGAGGCACTGGGAGGCCTGTCTTCAATAGTGAAACATGTAAAGTTACCTTATGACTTAGATATTGTCAGTTAGATTTAAAACAAAAACTTGATAAGTTTAACATGTTTTATTAACCCTGTATTATTGTATAACATAATATTGAGTGCTTTCCACCATACGGCCTTGTAATATGTTGGTACAGAGTGGTTTTGGATAAATTTGTGAAACTTGACTCCTTGACAACTAATTTAGTTTCTCTCAATCCAGTTTGATATCTGTATTAAAGTTTTTGTTTTGTTTTTGGTTGTTTTTTTCTTCCTTTTTAGCTCGACTATTCGATAAGAATAAGTAGAGCTATTGCAGTCACCCGAGCGTCGGCGTCGGCGTAACCACTTATGTTAAAGTTTTTGTAATAGTTCAAATATTTTCAAAGTCCATTGACATATGGCTTTGAAACTTTGCACACTTGTTCACCATCATGACCCCAACCTGTAGACAGAGGAGGTAACTCTATCAAGCATTTTGACAGAATTATGCCCCTTTTTCGACTTAGAATTTACGTTAAAGTTTTTGTAATAGTTCAAATATTTTCAAAGTCCATTGACATATGGCTTTGAAACTTTGCACACTTGTTCACCATCATGACCCCAACCTGTAGACAGGAGGAGGTAACTCTATCAAGCATTTTGAACAGAATTATGCCCTTTTTTCGACTTAGAATTTACGTTAAAGTTTTTGTAATAGTTCAAATATTTTCAGTCCATTGACATATGGCTTTGAAACTTTGCACACTTGTTCACCATCATGACCCAACCTGTAGACAGGAGGAGGTAACTCTATCAAGCATTTTGACAGAATTATGCCCCTTTTTCGACTTAGAATTTACGTTAAAGTTTTTTGTAATAGTTCAAATATTTTCAAAGTCCCATTGGACATATGGCTTTGAAACTTTGCACACTTGTTCACCATCATGACCCCAACCTGTAGACAGGAAGAGGTAACTCTATCAAGCATTTTGACAGAATTATGCCCCTTTTTCGACTTAGAATTTACGTTAAAGTTTTTGTAATAGTTCAAATATTTTCAAAGTCCATTGACATATGGCTTTGAAACATTGCACACTTGTTCACCATCATGACCCCAACCTGTAGACAGGAGGAGGTAACTCTATCAAGCATTTTTACAGAATTATGCCCCTTTTTCGACTTAGAATTTACGTTAAAAGTTTTTGTAATAGTTCAAATATTTTCAAAGTCCATAGACATATGGCTTTGAAACTTTGCACACTTGTTCAACATCATGACCCCAACCTGTAGACAGCAGGAGGTAACTCTATTAAGCATTTTGACAGAATTATGCCCCTTTTCGACTTAGAATTTACGTTAAAGTTTTGTAATAGTTCAAATATTTTCAAAGTCCATTGACATATGGCTTTGAAACTTTGCATACTTGTTCAAACATCATGACCCCAAACCTGTAAACAGGAGGAGGTAACTCTATCAGGCATTTTGACAGAATTATGCCCCTTTTTTGACTTAGAATTTACGTTAAAGTTTTTGTAATAGTTCAAATATTTTCAAAGTCCATTGACATATGGCTTTGAAACTTTGCACACTTGTTCACCATCATGACCCCAACCTGTAAACAGGAGGAGGTAACTGTATCAGGCATTTTTTTTACTATCAAGCACTAAGAATAGTCGAGCGTTGCTGTCCTACCGACAGCTCTTGTTTGTATTTAATAATTATGTCTTTTCCAGGTTGTTATCATTTTCTGAACTTAAACCCTGCTTTTCAGTTAGTACTTGTTTTGAAATTTTCCCTAAAAATTGTGACTGGTTTTGTCCAGATTGAAAGATGGACAAGTCCATTTTAAATATTTAGTGAGGTACAGGCTAATATATTGATTGGCATTACTGCATACAAATTTATGCAAATAAATGTTGCAGTAAGTGCATACAAAAAATAATGTTTCTATGTGTGAGAATGATATAACAATGTTTATAGTATCTTTTAAATCTCTCTAATGTTGTAATTGATATGTTTATTTTGTAAATTGTATGCTATTTATGGAAAGTTGTGCTATTTTTAGAATATTGTGTGTATTTCATGCATGTCCTGTCATGTCCGGACAATTAATTGATTTACATCATTCATGAAGGTAAATGCAAATTATCAAGTAGAATTAAGTATATGTGTTTGATACTATTTATAATCAAACTTGGCTTAGAAAATTGAAGAATTGAAGGATATATTTTATGATTTATTTCATATTTTCTGCAAACAAAAAGCAGCAATTTTAATAACAATCATTAGACTCAGTGGACATGTCCTCGATCAATTTTATTGTAAAATTACACCCAACAAATTAAACTTGCCTCTTATGAGTAATATTTTCCGTTGAAAAATATCACCAGACACTCTTCTTGTAAAACGTCATATTTTAAGCTAGGGAGCAACCATTAAACATAACAATAACAACATAGGTCATAGACCACCAAATTTTAAATTTTCTTAGGATAATGGACACGTCGTCGATCAGCTAATTTTGACATGATAATGTAAAAAAATGTTTAAACTAATACTTGTATGACAAAATTTGGAGTTTATATTTAAAAGAAATGTGAATAAAATAGAAATGAATTATTTGAGATCTTTTACTGGGATCCATGCGTTTATCACCTCCATGACTGATAATAATCTCTCTTGCAACATTTTTTAAAAATAATCTAGAATGAGGACAGCCTCTTGATGCCATGAATGTTGCATAATTTATCAGAATTTGTTCATCCGCAGGCTTTAACATACACTCTTCCCCAAATTTTGTAATATAACCCTTGTATTTCCCATTGATATGGTTCTGTACAGTGGGGTAAGGAAGGCCTAATTCAATAGCTGCTTTACGTATGGAATAGCCCTGGGTCACAAGATGTTTTGCCTCACTATATATTTGATCTGGGTGGGTCCTCTGAGACCTAGGCATTGTTAGACCTAGGCATTGCTGAAAATATATAATTGAGTGTCACCAAAGGGGAAAAATATAGTGGTGTAAAACCAAGGAAAAAAAACAGTAAAATATAGTGGTTTGTAACCTATGTGTTTTTCTATCCCATTAATTTACTACTTTTTATTTTGATATTATGTAAAAATATCTAATTATTCTTAGGAAAGCGGAAAATATGTATTTTGGGCAAACTATGCATATATTTAGCATCTTTTCTTAGTGGCTGATCCCTGACCTAGATTACTGTAGGAAATCGACCCACCCCCTTCCTGGGAAAAGAGCTAAAAGCTTACTTAATTTTATTATGTAGGAAAAAAATTTGTATAATTATCAAAAGTAGTTATTTTTTGTCATTTTTTATATATTTTGTATAAATATTAGAGCTAAGGAGAAAAGATGCACTTAATTTTTTATTGGGTAATTTCTACTTTCACTTTGCCATTGTTTTTAGAATCGTCTGCTGCGTGAACTTTGACCTCACATAAATACTCTTCAGTGGGAGTTTAGTAAAGTACTTACATGTGTTGGAAAAACAAAGCAAAGAAAGTCCGTGTTTTATCAAGTTTATTTGAAAAAGATACAAAAAACAAAATTTTGATCGAGGACCTGGCTGATCGAGGACGTGTCCAATCACTCTACTTCAAAAACAATAAATGTTTGACATCAAGATTCAAGTCAGACAGCTTTACTATCCACATGTATACACTTATACTATTTAATTTCTTAGTTTTTCGTTTTTGAAGCCATACATTTATCATTTTGGGGATATAAAAATGAAAATTAGAAACTGGTCAGCCAACAGTATAAAAATAGAGAAAAATGGAATCCTGAAAGAAAGGCTTCAAAGCCCAAAACGGCCAAATTGAAAATGTTGCAGGCTAGATGTAAAGCCTGGTCAGACTGAAGGATGTGAAAGCTGGCCTGGTTGTATAATAATGGGCGCAAAGGTTAATTACTTCTGATTCTAGCAGGGTAATGGTTAAGAGTGTTGTGCGCTATTAGGGTCAAGGTCATTTTGAATTATTCAAAATAGATACTGAATAGGAATTAGAAAAGATTATTTCAGTGTAATTTAGATGCTTCTAAGTACTGATTATTATAATTGTAAAGGTAAATTTAAAATAAAATTTGCATTTTATGCTGATTTGCATTTTCATTAAAACTTTGATTGTGAAGTCAAGTATCAAAATACCACTGCTACTGGTAAAAGCTTCTTATTATATGTTGTTTTATCAATATATAAAATTTTCAGTGAGTCAGACTAGTAGCTCTCGTAGCAGACCGTCTGTGACAAATACGACAGATAGCTCTGGTAAACTCACCATATACTTCTCCCTTTTCTGAAAGCACAGACAATATTTGTCCTTGCAATAATACAAATAAATTTCTGAAATTTTCATATTCTTACAACCATGCTCTGTTATTTATAATGTAATTCTAACACAAACCGCATTTTCCCTATTGAACATAGAAGATCACTGTTTGACGTTCTATATTTAGACATGTGACGTAATGATTATACACGTGACGTAACCACTAAAATGTGATGCGCTGACAATAAGTACGGACACAAATCAGGCGCAATTTAGTTAATTATCATGTACGGGCAGCATTTATTTGTTGATGTGTCGTGTTGATTTGTCGTGTTAGAATCGAAATAATATATCCAAATCGGTGATTTTCTTGCTTGATAACATCACTGTTTGTCGTTCGGATGCGCATCATTACATCACTCGGGCAACGCCCTCGTGATATACTTCCGGCATCCGAACTCCAAACAGTGATGTTATTGAGCAATAAAATCACAGTTTGGGATATATTATTTCTTAAATATACCATCCAGATTTTTCCACTCCCTGATTTTCTACTGGTCATATACATGCATATATCTCATTATGGCTGTATTCTCCTTCATAATAATTCAAATAAATTTTTTGAATTTTCATTGACTGAAATGCTATGTATATTAATTATTTTTTTTCATACAACCTCATTGATTTATCCCCATACTGCACTTGATTTCTTTCGAAGTCATATACATCTTATTAGGGCTATATAGTCCCAGCATTCTGTCAGTAGTAATAATATTATATACCAAAATGCACATACCAGACCCTGTCAAAATATAAATTTAGAAGGAAAAGGTTGTCAGAATTGGTGCTGTTATACCGGTATTTGTATGTGCAACTTAAAAAGCAACAAAATATTATACACTTTTACCATTAATAACATCCCAAAGCTATTTTCAGTAACTTATTAGGGAGATTGATGATAAAGTTGGCCGAAACTCAAAAAACATCAGTTAAGGTTGGAGTGCAGATCCAGGATTTATTTTACTAGATCAGGTCGTAAAATTCAGGCAAGGTGTAATGTATATTTTATAAGGGGCTGGCATTTAACTAGTTTTCCCTCTGGACGTACTACATATGAGCCATGTCACGACAAAACCAACATAATGGGTTTGCGACCAGTATGGATCCAGACCAGCCTGCGCATCCCCGCAGTCTGATCAGGATCCATGCTGTTCGCTTACAAACTCTATAACAAGTAGGGAAACTGATAGCGAACAGCATGGATCCTGATCAGACTGCGCGGATGCGCAGGCTGGTCTGGATCCATGCTGGGCGCAAACCCACTATGTTGATTTTGTCGTGACGCGGCTCAATATTATGACTTCCTAAACTCTGGAGTTGGTAAAGGCTGGACAGACACCTTAAACATGCTGGCTGGCCTTGATGAAATCTTGAACAGAAGCAAGCATTGCTTACATCTGTTTCCAGCATTGGTGGAATTATTTTTGCTGTTTAAAATTCTGTTGTCATTTTGTAATTTATCAATTTCCATTGCACTTATATTCATATATAACTACTGTACTTTTATTGTTTTCATTAATCAATGCATAGTACACACTCCTTTTATAAACATTTCCCAATATATGTATACATTTTTACTCTATACTTAACATTTGTTACATTGAAAGTTCTTAGCAACACTCTATTGCAATTTTACTTGTGCCTAGTAACTGTGTTTGTCATGGAAATTTCTATGATCTACAGAAATTCATTTTGAAATTAAAAAAATTACATTTTTAATACTATACCTGCCATGCAGGTAAACAGACCTGTAATATACTGTAAGTGACACAGCTTTAACTGTTAACATTACACAACCAACATACAGAATTTGGTCATACATGTACAAGTTGAAAAAAAAACATAGAAAAAGTTGAATGAATACAGTTGTACATTGTAAATACAGCTTTATATTTGACCTTGTTATCTTTTACTTTTGTTTTCTATATTATTGAGTTATGCATGATAAAATTATAAATGGTGGCAATATAAGTTTCCTAGGAGAGTGGTGGCCTACTGGTTGACGTGTCTGCCTCTCAACCCAGGGATCATGGGTTTGATGCCCTAGTCAGGTCACATCCATGTTTCTTCATATGACATCAGTACTGGTTAGTTCCAGGAAGCGAAATAGAAAGTGATTAATATCAGTTGCAATAACTTGTTCCGCAATCGTGCTTAAATAAATATGTTTAAACTAATTAGTTTCCTTATTTGACTTTCAGCTTTAATTAACCTGCTATCTTTGTGTACTGGCCAAGCTTTGAATTGGGAATAGTCCATATATAAGTAATAGGGATTTTGATATTAAAATACAACAATTTATTTTCCAACAGTATAGAGCCTGGTCAAACTGCAGGGAATGGCAGGATGACCTGGTTCTATATATGTGGTATAGACTAATCATTTTAATCATTTTTGGTTTCATCAGGTAATGGGTTTATGTGACTGTTCTAGGAGTTATCAGGTGTCACTTTAGTATGACTGGGTGGGTACAGGTAAACACTATTGTCAATGTTAAACTTCAAATATTGTTGAAGAAGAAGCTAAAAATCTAGCTCACTCATTTGTTGTTTTGGTACATGTAAGTTGTTACATTTTTCTCTTTTCTCAAGTTATAAAATAGAGCACTGCATATTGAAGTTGAAAGGGGAACCATGAAAGCATGAGATATACATTGCATATTAAGTTGAAAGGGGAACCATGAAAGTATGACATATGCAATTTATATTGAAATTGAAATTGGGAACCATGAAATCATTAGATATCAGATGTTTATGAACACAATATGATGATATTTTACAGGTGCAAGTTCATCATGGGGACAACCATATGGTCAGGGAGGATATCCGATGCCCGCCATGCCGTCTGCTGGCTACAGTTCTTACAATCCTTATATGGGCGGATACCAGCAAGCTCCAGGTAACTACTGTGAAATATTCACGCTTTACAAGTATAAGTTTCATGCATTCATCAAAAAGAGTACAACTTTGCTTTATACAAATATATTAATTGTTCATTTATTAGATGGTAATTGTGAAGTAATTTCTACTTCCGAAGAAGGTTTAACAGTGCATATTTTGTATACTTGAAATTACTAAAAGTTTACCACAAGAAAGAATGTTGGTCAATGAAGATAATTATAATTATCATCCCATTTATTTTCATGTTGACTTTTACTTAACACTTTTCTTAACACTGAAATTACATATCATTCTTTTAACAGCGCTTCTTTGAAAGTTATGTTGAGTTTTATTTTGACATTTGATGGTTGAGGCAATTTATATATTTAAGTGACAATTAAAGAAAACAGTTGAAATATATCAATATTTGTTCAGCTTTCACAAAACCATTGTAAAACTTTATTTTAACTTCATATTCAGGTTGTGTCATCCTGATGGCTATATTTACATCCTTTACAATATGTACATTTTTATAATCAACATACTTCCTGGTTTAACTTACCCTTATCCCCCTAAATTTATTAAATGGACTTGTCCAGTTTCTATGTTTGGGAACTCACCATTCTCAATTTAGTGGATATCAAGATGAAAAATTAAAGTAAGTCAACAGTAAAGAGTGGGCTTAGACTATTCCAAGGTGCAAGCAAGCCTGGCTCAGGTACATGAAGGCTTATCACTTAAGTTTCCATAGGTTAATGGTTATAGAGTGTATTAGATAAGTATATGTATGTATGTCAAGTTCCTCTTCTGATTGATATTATTTATGAAGTGTCATTGTGTGAGTTGTAGAATTGCACTTTAAAACTAGACTTGTATCTGCTTGTTGCTTACTTTCCTGAATGAAAAGTGTTGGTAAATCGACTTTTCATAGAATTAAATATGAATACTGTTTATGGTATATTTATAGGAACTGCATGACTAAGGGTCTATTTAGGGACCACTGTGACTGAGTAAATGAGATCTCAGATTACAGATTACTTGCTCCTTGCTATGTTTTCTTCAAATACTAACAGGCACTTCAGATTTCTGTTATTTGAAAAAGCTAGATTATGAAAGATTCGTGGTTTTACCCAGCCTAGTGTTTTTACTTGAAATAATGTATAATTTGACATGGGAAGTATAATGGACACCTAAAGTCTTCCTCATGACCATTATAATGTCAATGTGACAAAAAAGATGACCCTTCACTCCCATAAAAAAAAGAAATTCAACTTGTTTTCAATTAAGGATTAATTTAAATTACAGACACAGAATTATTTTTACAAATGTGCATTAATTTTGTTAAAACCTTTTCACAATAATTGTAAGAATTCAAACAACTTACTCTAATGTGTATTTTTAGGGTACCCAGGAGCACCCGGCCAGCCACCATATCCTGCTGCAGGTGGTCAACCACCATATCCGGGTCAGGCACCACCACCCCAGGGGTACCCCTACCCCCAACAACAATACCCGTACCAACAGCAAGGTTATCCTCAACAACAGTGGAGATAATGTGCTAATAAAATACAAACTTTAATCTAGTGATTCTATATTCTGTGCATGACAGTGATTCAATGTATATGTCTAGAACAGTGATTCAATGTATGTTTGGGGTTTCTATGTCAATTACAGTGGTTCAGTGTTTACTACAGTGATTCTATGTAAATGTCTATTACAGTGATTCAATGTAAATGTTTATTACAGTGATTCAATGTAAATGCCCATTACAGAGATTCAATGTAAATGTATATTACTGTAATTCTATGTAATTGTTTTCTACAGTGATTCAATCTAAATGTCCATTACAGTAATTCAATGTAACTATCTATTACAGTGATTCAGTGTAAACACATGTAACAGTGATTCAATGATAAGTTATTATAAGAGTGAACTCTATATAATAGATATATTGTTTCATGCTTACTAAAAAAACCCTTTTTATTCTATATACCATAAAGGAACATTTCTTTACAGCATATCATTTTATTTAAACATTCAAATTCAGCATATGATTTAGATCTACTTATTCAATGCAAAATTCAATAAAAGTTATTCAATGTAAAATGTGATATACATGTAGGTTATAGTAATTAATTTAAATAAGCCTCTGTGGTTGAGGGGTTAGAGTCGATGACTTCTAATCCAGTTACCTCTCTGGCGTGGGTTCGATCCCTGGGAGATGCTTTGGTAGTTTAGCACGGAGGAAGGTAGTCTAGTACTGGTGTAACTCTCCAGGAACGATGGTTTGGAAAACTACCTGCCTATATGACTGAAATAATGTTGGGAAAAGGCGTAAAATGAAACAAACAAACAAACAGTTATAATAAGTTAATTACATTTTATTGTAACAGTTGGTAAGATGCACTGTATATGACGGTAATTTTTATTGAATGCCTAAACTGATTGCAAACAGCTGCTTTATACTTCTATATTTTATTGCAATTGTTGATGACTTCAAATACCAAAGTACTGATGTTATTTGTTAAAAGGTACTTCTGAAAAGTAAATTCTAGTACAAAAATGATACGACTTTCAATTTTGTTAATATTTTTGGATTAAAAATTTTGATACCTTTTCAGTATATATGATAATCAGATTTAAAATTTTTAAATTCTGCTAAATTAGTTTTGCTATGAGATAATTAAGATTATTTTTATTTTAAAGATTTCAATCTAAAAAACAAAACAAAACAAAACTTCAACATATATTGACAGAGACTTATATTGCATAGGGATTAGAAGATCTTAAGTCATGTGTGTAAATAATGAGAAAAAAATTTCAAAATACATTTTTGTAATTTTAAAGAAAATTGCTATAAAAGAAAGACTTTTAAATCAAAACAACTTGTAAACAAGCATTGTTAAATTTTTGTAGTATAACATATTTTACAAGACTGATAATTAATTGGATATTTGATAATTTATTGGATATTTACTTCTCCTAATTGGAATTGTTGACTTGTTTTGGTTAGTTTTTTTTCTTGTCTAATTTGTGTCAAATTTCTTATTTTCTTCTTGGTGTTTATGGGAGAATTGTAGAGGTTTTTTGTTTCTTTTACAGTAAAATTTGTGAAAGTGTGAAATTTGTGTGATTTTCTCTCATTTTCCCCCTCCACCTGCATTATTTTGTTTTAAATTATGCACATTATAGAGAAACAAAACTACACAATGTTCATGTTTTATATTAGGGGATGGTTTATGTATGTGTTCTAATAGTCTTGTAATTAATGATTTAGTATTTATAATGAACTGTGATAGTCTATTGTACTTTATTCCAGAGAAAAAATCTGTTGACTTAGTGTCACATTTCAGTTGCCCATATTTGTAATGCACCCAGAAGAGTGTTAGCTGATTTATTTTTTGGTGGTCGTGCTTGGATACTGCACTTGTTTTCTAGGTCAAATTTCAAGAAATTTCACCATAACTGTTATATATTTATAAATTAAGGATTCTTCTATGTGTTATATACAGTTGTTTTATAAATAAGGGATGGGAGCATTTGTGTTTTATGAACTTCTGCTGTTTTTTGTTGGAGTTTTTTTTCTGACTGGTATTAAGGAAGAGTTCAGTTTTGCTCTCTGATGATCTATTTTTCATTATTATTTATGCATCATCTGTATGCAAGATAGCACACAAAACAATGTATCCCTATTAAATGTACTGTAGAATATACATGTATGTCTTTTATCAATGTTGTATACATACAATTTATTATCTTGTTAAGTGTTAATTTTGTCCATTTAATGTGATGTTATGTGTAAATTTCATTCATTCTTGTTTTAAAGAATGCTCATTCAACCAGAAAAGCACAATACCATATTGAGGGTTGACCGCAAGACTGTTGTAACTTTACTTCTTCTTTACTTCATGAGTTACTGCAGTTTTACGGTAAACCCTCAAGTTATGTTTGTCTACAAAATTCAGTTCTGTTTTGTTTGCTAATTTGAGTCGCGGTCTTAGTTATCATGCAGAGTGCAATTTTTGGTTCATTAACTTGTGTTTTTTAGATAAGATAAAGTGTTGGAAATTTGTGAAGTTTTTTAGTTTCCAAGTTTGTTTGGATCGTGTCACCATTTGTGTTACTTTTGTGCTGAATAAAAGCAAATCCAAAACTAGAATTTCTTTTATAGTAACAGATATTTAATATACTGCACTATCCTTTTTTATCTTTTCTTCTTCTTCTTTTTTTGCATAGGTTTTTTTTCTCTTATCCATTTATAAGCACATGGGCTATTTCTGTTGTGTAAATTATAATTAATTAGCTCTAGTTTTGTAGCATGATTTCAACTCGTTTAAGTTTTTTTTTCTCTTTGTTTTTGTTGTTAATAGAAGCTTTCTTATTTTAGCTAGCTGATATACTGCAGAATCATTATTATTCGTGGAGTACTAATTTTCGTGGTTTTTCCAGGATTTAAGATCCAACAAAATGTTATATCTTCTGCTGTTGTATGCTGTACGAATATTTTATTGCATTGTAATTTTGTTTTCAAAAAAGGACAATCCACAGATTAAAGAACCCACGAAAATGATTTTATTTTAGAAAACTATGAAATTTAATGTCCTTGAAATTTACTTTAATTTAGTAAATTTACACTATACTTCAAATATTGAGATTGAGAATATGACGACAGATCTGATAATGATGATAAGGTAATATTGGGGGAGATGCAGTGTGGTGGCCATAAAAATCGCTCACCCATTTGTTAAATTTTCCTGGCTTTTATAATGGATCGAGGATGCCAATACTTTAAGTGTTGAAGACTGCCTAGTTAGTTAATCTGATGTAAAATGATATAAAATATATTCCATTTTTCACTGTCACGCAAATTTCAAAATTATAAACTGGGTCATAATCTTTTTTTACTTACGTATTTTGTTTTAGTTGCTAATCCCTTTTTTTGAACGATTAGGTTTTTACGTTTCTTTTGCTCATTAAATTTTCATTGACAAACTTTTTTTTTTATGTTTTTATTACAGTCTGATAACAACATTATTTTGCAATTAAGTTTATTTCGAGATAATTATTAGCAAATTATGAGATAATTATGAAGAATAAGAAACAAATCTGTGGTTTTTAAGCTATAAAGTAATACATTTTTTTTCATTGGTTATCAGGTAAGGAATTAAAAAGTTGTCCTGAAAATTGGAACATGTTAATTAAGTCGATGTCGTTTTATGTAACTATAATTTTCATTTTTTTTGTTGCTATATTATATTTACGAGACCAGAAAATGTGTTTTTGTCGTACAAATTTCCAGTACAGAGAAAATAGACTGTTAAATCATGAATTAATAGTTAAAAACAAATTACTACACAGTAAATAAGTGAATGATAATGAATGGAAGATGAAAGAAAATTTAATGTATAAATTGTTAGTTATGATGTATATGTTCTGTTTTTTTTTTATTGTAATCTCTTTTGGTGTCATTCTTTGCAATATAAACAAAATTGTTAAAATTCTTACATGTTTGTTTTCTGTTACATTTGAATCCAAACTGAACCAATACTCCACTGAAATTGTGCTCTATTTTTAGTCTTAAATTTACAAAATGTGGTTGGCATGGTCCCCAGAATTGCCTCTTGTAAAACTTGAGGTTTGGAACCAGTGAGTCTTTAAATGACTAATATTATGTTTGCTATTTAAGATGACATATTTCAAGACTTAACTGAATACACGTTTGTTTAGGGTAATAATTTTGATGAAGTGAGCAATAATTTGCTTCAACTTATGTTTCTTTTCAAAAAGAAGATAATTGAATTGTCTCCCTTGGACCAAAAAATTTTCGGGTTTTAAGTGTATGCATGTATACATGATTGTTTTATGGCTGTAAATATTTTAACTGAAATACATTTGAACATGTATACAAAAATGTTATACTTAGAAACAATCTCACATACATTTATATTAAGAAAACACAAGGCTTGTAAATGGACAGGTAGATTTGTACATGTAGTTACTACTACTGATTATTTGAGACATTTATTTAATTACTTTTGATGCAGACGACAAGTACCTCTTGTTGATTTTACATTAACGCTGTCTCATTATATATTTGCAAGAAGGTATAACAGATGTAAACCATATTTCCTTATTATGAATATTATATATTGTTGTTGTTGTGTTTTTGTTTTTTTTTCGTTGGGTTTTTTTTCGCTTTAAAGTAGTTGTGCACCACGGTACTTAAAACAGTTCTCAAGAAAAAAAAAACAACAAAAAAACTAAATATGTAAGGAGACAATTGTAAATTTATTCCAATGTTTATATAGGACATGTGTGATATTTTAATTTTACCCACTAGATATTCAATAAAATAACTTAAAAGTAACTGTTAGGTGCTTAACTATTAACCTTCAATTAGAGTTATCACGGTGGACTTTCAAAACAACTTGTTACCAGATCAGATATTGAGTTCCTCATCGTCGGAACCCACTGTGCACATATTCTACCTGCTCAGTGACCCAGGCTATTTACCGTATACCGTATACAGGTATTAAATGTTGTATATAGGAATGTATACCGTGGGTTTCAGCGACGACTCTGGTATACGGTAAATAGACTGGGTTACCGAGAGCGACTTGCCAGGTTAACAGTCATGTTTTACTCTTGTTTTCAAATTCTAAAAATAAATAAATTAATAAAATGGAGCAGTCGACAGTTTTAAAAGCAGATGACAAATTTCCAAGTCTGTAGAGGGATAATTACATCTACAAGTTTTACATAGTTATTAAAAATGATGACAACTTAGATTAAAGTAATTATACGGGGAATCTAATTGGTTTAAAAACGTGTATGTATATATGGAAAAAAACAAAACAAAAACAAAACAACACCAAAATGTTGACACTGCACATTTACCTTATCAAAGTGCTGAATTTGCGTCTATAAATTTAAATTCATTTAACATGTAGCTAATTGTGAGCTATATTTAGAATTGAACAACCATTAATAATAATTTATTGCTGTACAATTAACCAATTCATTTGTAATACATGTTTTTGGTAATGCTACATTTATTTGAATGTAGCAAGTCCAAAGTCCAACTATGGCAGACTTAAACGCCCTCCTCGCGCCATTTCAACAGGGAATTGGTTATTCTATTTTGTGAAAAAATGTCCGGTTAGGAGTCTCCATGTAGACATTTGAATATGGATAGGAACTAGAAAAGTTAAAATGAGAAACAAATAAAGTTGGTAAAGGGGGTGGGGAAAAAGAAGTCATTTTTTTCTGCTGTAAATACAGTGATACCTTCTACAGAGCAACCCCTTTTGGGAGACAAAGATTTTGGCTGTTAATGAAAGTGAGGGGGTCGGTCTTATA